TATATATATTATATTATATACAGGGTGACTTCGAAGTTGAGTCATTTATTTTAACAGTGAGTAGATCTGATCAAAAGAAATGTTTTTTTCCTTTACCATTTTTCTGGTAAAATTAAAGTAACAAAGTTGGAAGTTTGAGTACCGCCCTGTCTCAATAATAATATTATGTGCTCGTGTTTGGCGACAACGGATATAATCCGCCTTATCGGTTCATCGCATCGGAAACAAAAAAGCGAAAGAATTTGGAACGATGTTTTTACAATTATTTCATTCATTTGTATACAGTCAGTGTCAGTGAATAGTGGTATCTGTTGCGTGGCTCAAACGAAATAAAAAATGGCACATGTTTATGCGGATCGGTTTTCCAATCGAGTGCAACCAACCCCTCGTGCCTTTGTTAATGTAGTACAACGGGCTCGTGAATCAGGTGACTTAAGACCTCACAGGGGACCTCACGATCAAATACAGGTCCGCACTGAAATACTTGTCGGGAGGATACTTTATAAAACAAGGCAACATTTTTTTTTTAATTTTTTTTTAATTTTTACACACATATTTTGGTTTATCTTCCTTCTACAATCATTATCTGAAAATTAATGACTCAACTTCAAAGTCACCCTGTATATATATATATTATATATATATATATATATATATATATAATATATAACAAAAGGTAGAAAAATAATGGGCAAAATCCGTAAAAAGGACGAAAGTGGGTTCGAGCAGAAAATAGTATAGATAACCCGAGTGATACGCTGGTTGGCTTCATCGGACCCGAAATGAAGTCAAAATGCAACTACAAAAGTAGATACACATGCCCACACATCCGGATACGGGTATCACCTGAGGAAACGAAGATGGAGAGGAAAAAAACGGCACACGAAGTCCAGAACAAGAGCCAACCTACACATTGTAGTATAAATTGGCTAGAAGACCTCGAATTTTCAAGGAGACATCTAACCACAACCACAAAAAGAAACTTTTTTTTGTAGATTTTTTGGGCTTGAAGTACCACAGCAAGCAGCTATAACCGGCCGCGTGGTTGTGGTCAGATGTCTCCTTGAAAATTAGAGGTTTTCTAGCCATTTTATACTACCTACAATGTGTAGGTTGGCTCTTGTTGGGGACATTTGTAGTTGCATATGTGTATACATTTCCGGCCTGATGAAGCCAACCAGCAGAAATACGTATCGCTCGGGTTACCTATCCTATTTTCTGCTCGAATTCACTTTCCTCCTTTTTGCGGATTTTGCCCATTATTTTAATACTTTTTGTTATACACCCTCTTTCTCCGTATGATCATTTTCTTTGTATATATATATATATATAACTTATACTATTTTCAATCTTCTTTATGTCGCAAAACTTGTATTATGTTTACTTGTATTGTGATTCCAAAAACTTTCGAAAATGAGATATTATGTGCTGTGGACTATGACATGTGCATTACCAAAAACCATGTCACATAGTCTCCCCCATGAGTGTCGGAGAGGAGCGACGTTGCCAAATGAACGGGATTATCGGTAGAGCTGAGAAAAGATACGGACTAATTCTATAGGCCCGTTTGATTTACTATGTTATTTTTTTCTCAGAAGTTTTAACTTGTACGGATTATAATCCTTTATGAACTGATGACAACGCTGCAGACTCAACCTACTTGACGCCATTTTTTATCACTCTGCGTAATATGCGTATATTATACGGAATGACCATTATATAAATCAAATGCTTTATGTATATCCTTTACTATAAATCATCCCTATCCAAGCTGCATATATCGTAGTATTAAAACCCGAAACAATGTTTCCAGTCAACTAACTAATAGCTATATATCTCACAAATAAGGCAGGCATACGGATGGAAGTTATTTCTGACAGCGTTGTATATTAGTTTAAATTTATGGGTTAGAAAATAAGAAGCTGACATACAAAATAAACCGAATTTTATGGTAACTTTTACTGATCGTAAAACTAGCCTTAGATGCAACTCCTAAATGTATGGGCTGAAATGAGCATAATGCTTCACATTCAGACGCACTCAATTTCCCGTTAACTGATATGGATTCCGATATAGCTTTAGTGCTTTTTTAATTAATGTTTACAGAGTTATAATTGGTAAAAATATATGGTGTGAGTATAAAATGACATAAACCATATGTGACAGATAGCAATTTGAACAGGCTTATGTTGAATTAAATTTGTAAATACACAGGATTCACCACCTCTCAATGGTTAGACTTACGTGTTTTGAATGCATGTTAGTATACACCAAGGGCTTGATCTAGTACGCATATATCTCGTCAATAGCGACTGCTGCTAGGAAAAAGCTAAGCTATTTGCTTAGGGCTAAGAAGTACTTTTCTCCGCATGAACTCCTCACTGTGTACAATACCCATGTAGTCTCGAGTACTGCTCACATGTTTGGAGTGCTGCGGCCCCGACTACATTATCCATCATGGATGCTGTTCAGAGGAGGGCTGTCTGACTGATGGAGGACTCTTCTCTAACGGACAGCGTCTACCGCTATGTCAAAAGGATTTGCTCCATCGGCTCTCCTCCACGATGCTGCTGCGCGATGTGCCCGCCAGATAGACCCGCCTGACTTCTGCCTCCCCTCCTAACTGTGTCGAACTACGTACCTCCAGAACTGGCTGATACGACCGCTCCTTTGTCCCTAGGGTATTGAGATTATAGAAAAGTCTACCTGAGGAGTATTCCCAGTTCTAGTAACCTTAGGCAGTTCAAAATTCGTATTAATACAGTTTCTTTAGGCTAATAGTAGCAGCCGCGGTACCCTGGTCTATAAGCTTCTGCCTGTGCGATTGCTTGGGTTTAAAAAAAGACATAGGTATAATTCAATGGTTTTTTAAAGCACTGTAACTGTTTAATCATGTGATGGTGGAAAACAATTCATTCATTTAGGTCTCCCGGGGGGGGGGGGGGGGATTAGCCCTTATACTATTAGTTATGTGCGTCGTATGGAGTAACAAATAAAATTTAGTTGTTTTTTTTATCAAAGCTGTGGTTTTCTTGCTATCTATCCCAGACAAACTAAGTTTGTGGTCATCTGGTTTTAGGAAGACTCGCTAAACAATAACATGTTTGAGTCTAAAGACCACTTACCTCCAAGCAAAACGGTCCTGTTCCGAATATCCGGTTACGTTCTTGGCCGAAGCACCGAATATTCGGCCTCCGAATACTGAATATAAAAAAGTGACCGAATATTCGTGGCATCTCTAATAATTAGGCTTACCTCTGAACAAAGCGGCATTCGTTACTTAACGAGAAAAGTGAAGAGGAACTTTCACAGTATACCTAAAGATAGTTTACTAAATTATATATTGTCTTGTCAGAGATAAAACGAGATACCGTAGTATCATCTATGAAAATTTGTTACAGCTGTTTCTCTATTTACTATTTTCTGTATATACTTTTCAAAGTTATATACAGCAAACAGAGAAACATCTGTGACAGATTCTCATCGATGACGCTAAGGTATCCTGTTTTATCCTGGATAATTTTTTGGACGCGGGAATATAGCCTTAGGTTGGCTACTTTCAGGTGAAATACGTTAATCAATGGTATACGATGTTAGAGCATTCATACCTAAACGATAACTTTACGGTCTTCCAATTTTTCTATTTATAAACAATAAAAATTACATTTTAATAAAATCATTGAGTAGGTTCAAATATTATCAAAAAACACGTTCTGCAAAAATGAGTGAATTTTTTTCTTTGAGTATGTATTTGAAACATTGTCCGAAATGTAAATTCATTAGCTAATTTATTATGTTTAAATTCTTATTGAGCGTCTTTTGATGATGGGGGTTATGTGTTATCTTAAGCTAAACTTCGCCGTTTTGTACTAAGTGGAGCGACGTAAGATATGAAAATGTTAACACATCAGAACCCAGTCCCACTGGCTGGATTTTTAAAAAAACCTTTTCGATGGCATTGTTGAAGGGTTGCATAGGAAAGTTTACCTATCAAACGCTCTCCATTATTAAAAAATTAAAAGACTATGTGAAGTAAAACGTGGTGATCAAGAAAACATATATCTAGGGCATAATTAAATAATACGGGAAGTTCAACTAAGCATGGGCCCTAAAATGCCCCCTTAGCAACATACAGGGTGTTGAAGTTATAATTTCGAAATCGAAAAGAAATCATTTATTATAGCGCAGCCAATAGATAACAAAATGTTCGTTCCACAGACTACACCAGCGTCGCAGATATTGGGAAATTTTGACCAGTACTGAAGAAATTGAAAACTATTGTCTACGCCACTAACTTGTTTGAAACATCTATTGTATTTTCGAATATGCTACTCTCCTTTGAGAAATTTTTGGCAGGACTACTCCTTTTTGTGAAAAATTGGTTTCATTGTTTGAGGTCAAATCCGTTTAAAAGGATCTCAGTCCGTTCTACTTCTGAAATACGGTGAATTAGAGTATTAGGAGAGTGATTATTTCGCTATAGCGTAATTTCAACAATACTCATGTTTTGTCCTCATTCGGTCTCATCAGTGCCGTAGAAACAACACCCTGTATCTTGGGGAAAATTTTCAGGACTTTCAGGATAAAGACTTTTATTATAATTTTCGGATGTATTTTACACACTAGAATTATTATTCCTTACTGTGGATTCACAGAGTTTCATCTAATTCACTCAAGTAATTCGAGATAAACTAAAAATATCATAATTAGAAAGAACAGTAATGTGCCCATAAGGTACATAAGTTCGTACGAACTTTTTTGCTCAATATGATGAGATCTATCAGATGCTATATTACAAACCCGAACTAACCGTATACACAAAAAACGAATGAAAAAAAAAATTAAAAACAAAACTGCCCAAAAACTTTTAATATACAGTATTTCAGACGCATTCCACTAAAAATCGTATAAATCCATTTAATGGAACTGGGTTCCGAGGTTTAAATCTAAGGCCGTTCCATTAATTGCAACAATACGATTCTTATTATTTTTATTTGCAGCTGTGAGGTGCGGCCAGGTCCTCAATTCGTCCTAAGATCCTATACCTTTGACAGCGATGGAAGGTTCATGCTGATCCAGCACCATTACTGGGACAACTCGTGCTCATCGCCTCAACTGAGCATCATCTGCTATGGAAGAATACAGATGAGGACATCCCTGGTGCAACCGGGGGCTGCCCGTGGGATGACTAGGATATCAAATATCACGATAATTCCTCAAGATAAAAATGCAGCAAACGAACTGGAGAGAGTATCAAAAATCGAATGTCCAGGTATGCACATTATAAATTTTTCCTCAGTAGATACTCATTTACAAAGAAAGTAAAAATAATTTTAATTAAATGAAATATATAATTAGAGAAAGCAAGAGGAACTCGTGATTACGTTTTTTGCTGGTAACGTTGGTGGAGGATAAGGTAAAAACTTTGCTCTAAGGGGCTGTCGGTCTGTCTGTCGATTTGTCGGTCTATTTGTCTGTATGTCTGTCTGTCCGTTTGTGTGTCTGTAGGTCTCTCCGTTAAACTTTGGCGCGTCTGTAACTTGTAAAGTACTGCTCGTATTTGGATAAACTTTTCATTCAAGATTACTACTATACCAGGACGAAAAATATTTGAAGCTTTTGAAAATCGGTTGAACAAAGGCGAAAAACGAAAAAAATAAAAATCGCCCAGACTTTTTTAACATTTCTAAGGCTCCCGTTCATATTCAGAAACAGTTTTGTAGGTGTTAAATATCAGGCGTTGGGGCTTGTAAGGGTATATCTCATTTTGTGGCGACAGTATATTTATACGCTTCCAACCCCGTACACTAGTTTTTCAGAGATATATTTACAGACGCGGCACGCGGTCGGAGGGAAGCTGGCAACCTTCATACCCCAGATTTTGTCTGCATCTGACTGCATCGCCAGTGTTCTCGATCTCGAGTTATAGTATCGTGGCTGGCGCTTATCGCATGGTTGACTGGTGTGGTACTGGACAGGGAAGAGACTAGCATAAGCATTATTAAATGAATAAGGATAATTTTTTTGTTATACATGCTTGTATCTAGCTCAGAGGAGCTTGTGTCGAACGTAATCCTTAATGAATGATGACAGCGTTGCGTGCAAAATGCAGTCAACCCACTTAACGCCATTTTTAGTGTTGATCTCGATTCTGTCCCAGTTCACTGTTTGCTATTCATTCATTATGGTTTGTTAACGTGACCGGTTCGAAAAATGAGTGAGGGGAAAGCTACAAATTCAACAGAGACATTAATATTGTTGATTTCTGGTACTGAAATTTTGAATAGGTGTGGTTACAAGCACATTTCATTATTATGATGGTAATGCTAAGCACGATGTATCAACAAAATGAATAAAACTTTTAACAGTACCTGTCAACACCAAGTTCAGTCTCAGAAATGCATTAACATTCATATCGCTGACGGATTTCTTTTAATTCAACAGGTATCACGTCATGTTGCATGATAAGTTTTAAATGACCAAAATGTGATAAGTGGCTGCCTTCCTGGAACTTATCTAAATACCGAAATGTATGTCGTCGCAAGCAGAATTCATAAAGTGCCTGTTTACTTTCGTTAGCATTCTTACCATGGGATATATTTTAGTTGCAGTTGAATAACGAAAGATGTACATTTTTTTACATACAGATCAAAGGAGAAGAGACATTATACTGCCTTACTACCACCTCATGGTATTATATAATTGTCATTTAATACTGGATTTGATTCTAACCTGTTGTACTTCACTGCTCAAAGGCGGGGCTCAGACTTTTTGGCTAACCAAGCTTCAATCCGATATCTATTTTGGCAGATAACGTCGATATAGTTCTTCATAACTTGAAAGCTGTACCTAGCCCTTTTTGTTGCATACAGTTTTGGAGCTATGATTTCATACTAATATCGGTAATTTGCCATGTTTACTTCCCATGCCACTGTCAATAAGGTATTGTGATTGTGAAAAATTTCGAAAATGTGATATTACCTTTTTGGATGTTTTACGACGTCCACATTACGAAAAAACATGTCACTCATTCCTATTGGTTTGTCTAGCTGTTTTCTGTCTGTCTGTCGGCCTGTCTGTCCGTTAATACTTGGACTGTCTATATTTTGGCAAGTACGAGTACTTCTCGAGTTTCGATGAATTTTCCACACCAGGTTACTACTATTCGAAGGACGAAAAGGCTTTGTAATTTTTGAAAATCTGTCTAGGGGCGGCAGAGCACGACGCAAAAAACAAAAAATAAAAATCACCCAATCTTTGTCTTTTTTTGACGTTTTAGAAGCTCCTGATGATATCGGAAAATTTTTGTAGGGGTTTAAAATTGGCGGCTAGAAGTTGGTATATCTCAAATTTTTCTCCCCAATTTATGCACTTGAGCCGCTCCTAGAACTGAGACTGAGAATAATGGGATGATGACTGGTTCAACATTATTTTTAATGGTGATTTTGGTTTGGTTCAGGAATGCATGATAGATAAACGTGAGTCATGGTCTGGAGCGCCATTATATATGGTCCCAATTTACTTCTGGTTTCCATTAGATGACGTACTATGTTGGCAAGATGATTCAGCATATACTGGAACTCCGTTTTTCCATACCTCCAAAGGTATTGCTAACAAGATAATTCCCGCCGCCAAATCAGTCAGCTTCCTTCCTCATCCTTCGGCCACCTAGATCACGATACCTTTCGCCCATTAAATTTATATGTGGAATACGATTGAAAGAAAAGTTGTATGAGGTACCCCAAGAAGACAGAAGTTACCTTATTAGAACCATGTCCAGTCGATTGGACGAATGTACGAGTATACAACATTGAGGTATCCCGCACATTATTCAAGTATCCAGTAACGTAGAAAATATTTTCAGTTAAAAATATAACCACTACTTCGTCTTCTCCATGCCTACCTGTATACAAAGCTTCATCCCATCATTTCATCATTTCTACTGGGTGTTCTATTTTCTTTCTCACTGAGTATAAGTATACCGACCTCTCCAATGGGACAATATCCTACACGTTTCAAGCCCTTCATAACGCTTCAAATATATAATTCGTATTCATCATCAATATCCAACTGGTACGTGCATGCATTTGTTTCTTGAAACTGAACTGTTCTAACAATAGACGTGGTAATTTCATGATTAAATGTGTATTTCCTGTAGGAAATAGCTTCAGAATAATAATGCACTAAGCATAAAAGTGTATATTATTCCTGTATTTTTTTACAACCATCCTTTCTCGAAGAACGGGGAAGTGATTCATGTGGATGTCCGTTGGTTAAAAAACTGCCATTCATGCAATGAAGAAAAAAACAATATTTGCGTAATGGCGCTTGACAATTATAAACGTGTTTGATTTGCGAGAAACGAGGCTATAAATTAATGTGAATGAAAATAGTTACATTGATTTTTCTGATAAAATGATTTAAGGATGATTCCAATGGTTACCAACAAATGTCACGTAAAACGACCAATAAGAGAGCTGAGGAGTATGACGTAAGTGGGGCTGATTTTTCCTTTTCAGCGCCTGAATCAGCGTGTGTCGCGAAGGTTTTTGATCCGGTGTATCCTAATCCATGATCAACATCTCTCGATTGGCTCTAGTGTCTGAGATGTACTAACCTAAAAGTGCAAAAATAGCGATTTTTGCCTGTATTTGAGATTATGTAGAATTGCGAGTTATCTTTTAACAAAAAAAAACTAACAGTAGGCATTATCTCAAAGAAAAAGTCTTATCCTTTCAAATGCCGTTGAATTTGTTTATATACCTTCTTTCTTCGCTGAGGTATGACACTTCTCATTTTTACATTTTTCTGATCTAGATGGGTTCAGGTTGTATCAGAAGAAAGCATTTTTTTATAAAAAAAGATGTGTGGCCGAAAGTAAGTACGTTAGATTCGGACTTGATAGGTTAATGTGGGCTGTTGGCTTGTAGTTTCTGGGTAAGTTTTGTGTATTTTATGCATTTAGTTCAACTTTCTTAATTTCTATTGCATTCTTTTTTAAATTTAAAAATTACTCCCTTCTGATAGAAGCTGAACAGACCTAGATCAGGAAAATGAAAACTTGAAAGTGCCATACCTCAGCAAAAGGACCAGACCTTAAGCAAACTCAATGTCATTTAAAATGCAACATTTGTACTTTGACATGTTCATGGTTTTTTTCAAATTATATAATTCACTATACTACATGATCTTAAATACAGGCATAAGTCGCTATTTTTGCACGATTAGATTGGTATAACTGGGAAACTAGAGCCAATTGACATATTTGGACTACGGAGTCAGACTTAGCGCATCAAAAACCTTTAGGAAGGTATACACTGGTTAGGGCCTGTGTAATCCGCCTAAGCCATTGCAACTATATGAATTGTTCAAGTCGGTTTCGGAAATAAAAATCATGCTTTTTATTCGCTGCGTGATCTTGATAGCTACCCAACATCATCAATTATTAATAATATCTGAGTCTTTATTTAAATTATTTGTACGTGACTGAAAAACCTAATGTTTCAGGTCAATATTCGAAAGCCTGGCGACAGTACGCTGAACATACTGTATACGACAGCCGTTACGATGAGAAGAAGAAGACTTTGAATTTGTGGACTTCCGCTTACGACCAATCTTTGAACAGCAGAGGAAATAACGTCCATTCCAGCGACATATCCTGCTTGGGAGCTTTGAAATGGGCTTTCAACGAATTGAAATTGCTGAAGATACAGTTGCGACCGATCATCCACGATCCCAAGAAGAAGTCTAAGGTTATGAAGATGGAACTGCTCTTAGGTGACATCCACTCCAACTACCGGCTGAGGGAGTATCATACTCCCACTAGTTTCCAAGTACCTTTGGTGAAACAAATTAAAGAAGAAACTACAGTATTCGTGAATAGACATTCTTACATAATCACTAACACTAACACAATCCCTGTTATGAACACCTTCACTGATAGCAAAACTCCTCCACATCTTCTGGAGAAGCCACCGCTTCCACCGTACATCTGGGGCGAATGGACTTCTACCAGATGTGAAGTAAGACCAATGGGTTTGTATCTCACCAGGAGGTTCTCGTTCTACTCTGAAGACAAGACATGGATTGGAGATCACGAGTTTTATGCAGATCCTTACTGCAAGATACCAAAGTTCACCGTGACTGCTGCAGGGCACTACGTTTTGAAAGGGCCTAGCAAATCTATCAAGGGGGCCAGTAATATTGACTTCCATATCGAGAAAGCCACCCTTACGGTACGTAAAATTATGTTCTTAAAAATAACGGTTTATTCTAGGTGTTTCCAAAGTATCTGGCAAACATTTAAGCGGTGAATTTAATCTAAGTTGTATTTTGACAATTTTCGAAATACCGTTGCGGGAATTCAGGCATGCTGTAAGCAAACTCGTTTCTTTTGGCGGTTCGATACCGGTCTCGGAACTGGTTCCTACGATTTCTTTACGATTCCTTTGGATTTCAATTCCCACAATTCCTAAACATACCATTGGTGTGGCTCTATAGAGCCACGACATAGCAGTAGGAACCGATTGTCGATTCCCATTGCCTCGATTCCTGAACCCCGCACTCGATGGTATCGCTAAAAGCACTTACGGAAGGCCACTAGCACTAGCGGTGGCCGCAGTAGTAGACTCTTCGGTCTCCTGATCAGTCGCCGTGCGCTGTGCGGGTTCGAATCCCGTCCCAGGAGAAACTTTTCTCTTGGCTATGGATGTTGTGATTGTCCGTAGGTGGTAGATGGTCTCTGACTGTCGAACTCGGAGGTACCACCCGGCGGATCTCGTAGGCGGAGCCAGAATATGTGCATGTTGCATGCACACGTGTTCCCTCGCCAGAGTCCGTGTGGCGTTCTCCCTTTCCCTTGTATCCCCCTATAGCCCCACGGTACCCAATGGGTGTTTAGGCCTTCGTGGTAGTTGGAGTATAAAAAAAGCTAATGAACACTTGTTGAGAACTCGTTTTGTAGTTGTACGTGTTGCCAAAACGTCATGATGCTTCAGTTATCAGTGTTTGGGTCTGATGTAATGTAAAATCTGCTTCAGAGATGGCATTATTGGAGGTCTAAGCTGTGAGTTGTATACTATAGCTAGAAGGAAACGGCAGTGCATAGGTGCCTAGTGAGAATTTGTGTGCTAATGATATGTGTTGATAATTCAATTGGTTTCTTGCCTCAAATACACGTACTTGGGATTCAAAGCTAGAAATTAGTTGCACTTCCACTTTTTCTTATTCATTCTGGAAATTACATATGCAAATTTGCTGAATTTCAAAAATGAGAGAGATAAGAAAACAAAATTCCTGGTTGGGGAAGGAACAGGTGAGAAAGTATGCTACAGATAGGAATATCTATGAACGTGAAAAGGTTATTACATTATTTTTTATTTCTAATCATTTAAATTTTATAAAAATTTATTTTGCGATGTAAATAGAAAATACAAATCAGCGCCTGGATGTGAGGTACTGCGAAAATGTTTGATGTGTCATGCGTCATTCCTAATTTTTCTGTGATGTGGCTTAAGTGCACACCTCGCGGGCGCGGTGGTGATTTCGCGTAATTCTCCTCAAGGTTTTTGGAAACACAAAAAATGGAAAAAATAGTACTTTATAACTTTGAACATAACCTGTCTTCAGAAAAGACAACATATAGGTAAATAACTGTCGGAAATAGCTTATAGATATACTTCATTGGCAGCATATTCAGTCATAACTTTCACACACAGCAAATATCACTGATTTTATACATATGCAGAGCAATACACATAATCGTCCAGATGCGACCTTGCTATTCAACCAACTTTCTTTCTTTAACATCTCTGAGATAAACACTATAGACTACTCGGCTCCACAAAACATATACTTGATTTCTGCAACCAACAATGCGTGTAGTTGAGTCATTCTTCCATAGATGGACGCTCACAGCGATCATAGCGCGCAAACGTGGAATTAAATATTTGCGTCCTAAAAACTAGTCCGCAAGATAACATTTTATTTGTTTTCTTGAAGTTTTATAGGTTTTTTACATAATAGCCGTGCGGAGATTGCTTTTAATCTCAAATATTCCAAATAAAGAATGATCTGCGGTGCCTATAGGCTGGAAGTACATTTTGTAATAGTTGAATCAGACAGATGCAATCTACAATCTGCAACCAGCAGAACAGTTCGGTGCAACTGGTTGCCTATATTCAGTCTTCTGTAATTCGAGGAAGCTAACACATTATTATTTTGCATTGTTTATTGATATTTAGCACAAAAAACATTAGTTGTCCCAATTTTAGCATCAAAATGCTAAATAGAAACGACAAGTAAAAACAAATCTCTATGAAATCGATGACATGTGATGACAACTGTTACAGCCTACTGTGAAATTAAAATTTATATTATCCCTTGAGCGTCATTATTTCACTGTTTCCAAGGAGATATCACATCTATTGTTTCCAAGGAAGGTCTTTAAATTTTACTCTTAGTTTGCTAAGGACTTAATAGATGTTATCAATAATTTTTCAATCCTGTATAATAATGGCTCAAAGATGAAATGTTCGGGACACGTAATCATCTGAATGTAAGAATGTATTACTGATTAATTGCGATAAAATAATCCTTTTTGAGATCGTCTTATCTCGGTATCCTTTGTTTTATCGATTACGATACCGAGTCTGATATACTACTAGATCCCCCATTCGATAACGGTTTCATAAATTTTCATATCACTTCATTAAGTTGTAGGGTTTTTGGGAATTAGCTGCGATGTGAACTGGTAGGATTAGTATTGAAACAGGAGTGGTTTTTCGGGAATGGTTCATTTTATCGAATCAAACATTTGTTTCAACTTTTGGAGACATTATTATAAATAGTACAAATTGCTATGTAGCGATAGAACCAGTCTCTGACGAACTGAGTTAATTATTTGTCATATGGGGCTTCAAGTGGTTACTATGCTGTCCAAAATTTCGTTGAACTATGTTGTATAGTTTAAAAGTTATTTCCAGTGGCGCCCTCTAGAGGCCAGTTGCTCAGAAACCAATTGGTATTTCAAAAATTGTCAGACAACGAAATAGTCTTAGAGTAGACCAAAAAATATCCCTTTTTCCAATGTGTTAGAAACATCCTGTCAAACCAGTGATAAATTCAGTGCCTCCAGAATTTGTCTAGAGAATTGTATAATAGGATATTTTGGAAAGCAAGGAACTCTTGAATTATACAGGGTTTATTCCATCGCTTCATACAACTCACTTCAAAAATAAAAAACAACAGTTGCAAATTCCAATGAAAGCCTTCAAAGTTTGGAATACCAACAAGAATTTTTCTGATCTTAACCGTTGCAGGTTCTCGACCAAAAGATGATCTACAACATGCGCCTACCAGGTCTCTGTGGCCAAGGCACTTGGCAAGTTGGCGTAGCCCAAGACCTGAGCGCTACCAAAGGCTGTCCACAACTAGGCATCATCTTACCTTCAGTCCAATACGACATCGTCAAGATAGAGATGGACTACAAGGGCCAGTGCTTGCTCTTCTTGGGACAAGTGGAGACGGACACACTGCATTCCAGTACTGACCAAAGACCGTCTGCTTTTCAGTTGCCGCTGGTCAAGTGTGGCGAAGTTGCTGGATATTCCCAGGGATTGAGGGATATTTTGGATAACAATTTGTATTATAGTAGTGCAAGCAGCTCGACGTTCTATGCATCTTTGACTATGTTTGTTATGGTCTTTGCTTTGACGTGTAAAATTTTTTTTTGAAACAAAAAAGGAACTAAGGTAAATCTTTGAAACAACGTTTTGACTTATTTGCCAGATACTAAGCAAAAAGTACTACCAAATCTTTTGTTGTCATGGAGGTACTGTTGGCAGGATATATGGTCATTCTGATAAAGTGACAAGTTCGTTTAGGAACAGATCCAAATCATGACTGAAGTGACATAGGCTCAACACTCAGATTTATTGGAACATATGGCAATACAGAGTGGGTCTAATTTGAAGCACCTACATAGAAAGTAGAAAGTTACTTGCTTTCGGCAGAGGTGTCTGATGGATGTGATGCTGAAAAGACATATGATCCTACGATTTCATACAATCCATACTCAGTTTTCGTAGATTTTCTAGATGTACATCTTACTGGAATGCCCAAACGGTATCAGTATTCCCCTTTTAAAGCTTATATGGATATCTGGGACTGGCTAGCTGTTACCTGAATGTGAAAATCACCATGCACACGCAGTCTTCTCGTTCGAGTCGAGACGCAGTTATCATATCAATCTACGTAACTGCCCGTGTGCCAGGAACGAGAAACTGCGTATGAGTGGTTCTTTTGACATGCTAAGAATGGTTTGTCAGTTCCAGATCCTTCTGTTATCCGTGTGTGAGTGGACAATGTTACACACGGCGGACATTTGGTGGCATATGGAACGCCAGATTTTGAACAATAAATTTCAAAAAGACCCAAGCAAATTTTGTTTTTGATCTCAATCTTTTCATTTTTTTATCTTTGCTTGTTATATAAGAATGTAAATAATTTTGTACAAAAATGATTGTGTGAAGAGGAAAATCACTTATTTGCTATACAGTCTATTACTTCTTTCATTTCCACGTACCTACTGTCACAATAATTTTTCTATGAAAAAACTTCTTTTGCTTTAAATAATTTCCCCAGGACAACCGAAAAACCCACATGTTTTAAACCACTTGAGCTACTTGCGACTTGATTTGGTTAAAATTGTGTGTGTCTTTTTCAAATAGATTGTATGGCAAATAATGCGATTTCTTATGTGTATGATTGTATGTATTTTTATGAGATAGGTTGGGGACAACATTACCAGTGATTTTAGTTGTTAGCGACATTTGTAGATATGTATGTAGATAAAATGGTCTTTTGGGTGATTACGTACTGTGCATAGTTGAAAAAATGGCATAGTGTTGGTGCATGTACAGTTTGGTAAATAATTTCGTTTGTATGAAAGTTAGATGCGCCTCGAACAAGTTGAGTGGTAGAAATGGCTGCATTTCTACATTGTTAGTTTTTATTGTTTTTCTGAGATATTTTACCCTGAAGTTGGATTTGCTAAACTGTAGGTCCAACGTTGTATATTTTGATAGCTGTAAAAAGAAAGATGTGTGTATTTCGGAGAGATTCTTCCATGTATATTGTTTATAGCTTTTCGATATATTTTCTACAGTTTAGAAATATGCGATGTTATTTTTGTATTTTTATATTTTTATGCATCAAAAATAAACTATATTGATCAATCAACCCAGAACTTTATTCAACTAAAATACCACAAAGCAGTAATAACACTGTAAACCATCAACAATAAAATTATCGGTATATGTTTTCTATACATTTTATTTCGGTAATTTTGGCAACTACTTTGTATTGGGTATTTTCAATTAATATTTCATTAATCAATGAAAGAAAATTTTAAAATCCAATTTGTTAACGACGATCTGATTGTCATTGTTTTTTCTTTGTGCTCACGTCTAGTAAAATTCGTATGTAAAATCCCTATCCACTTATATAGTCATATCACAAGTATGTAAAAATTTACGTTACATCACTTGCAAATGTATATGTAATGTACCACATGCATTTTCTACAGATAGAAAAATAATTCTGGCAAATGACAAGTCACGGTTCATAACTCCTGCTTCCAAATCATTCTCTTGTAGTATATAGGTAGTCAAAAAACTGGTTACGTATTCCAAAATGTCGCGCCAAAAGGAAAGCATTTAGCCAAAAAATAAATACAATTAAGATAAACTCTTACGTATACTAGCTTAATTTAAAAAAGTAGTTAATGAACTGGATTCTTTGTTGTCACAAGACATATCTGAAAGATTATGTTATCGTGCATACAGGATGCTCAAGCTCAATAGTTGCAATATTACATGATACCAGTAGTACCTAGGGTCTAGAATGGTACGTGGGTTTTGGTTTTGAATATTAAATGGGTTTGTCACAATACAGCTTTTATGTGTTACTGTCTAAAAAGTCAGACAGAGCCTTGTCGTCACAAGAATTTGCAATGATGATTATGACACGCATTGTTCTTTTAAAAGCTTTGTAGTTGCTAGAATTCCGCTAGTAGCAACCGATGAATCACAGTTTCAAAGCAAAAAGTAATAGATGCTCAAAGTTTAATTATTTGTGCCTTTCGATCTCTAATGGTTTTCATAGTTTCGGAACTTCGCCCGCTAAGTCACTTTCGTGTTTCACGTGAAATCACAGTCACTTTGGAGCTCTTTATATGATAATTCGCTATTATTTACCACATTTCTCTAAGAAGAAGTTACATGTCTTCCTCCAAGTAAATAATGGTAATGAAAAGAACCCTAAGTGAATAATGAATTTAGAGCTGTAGAGCTTTCTTGGCATGTTGGCCACAGATCTGTTCTGGCTATCAAACCCTCTACCCATTTCAGTATTGCTAATAATGTTTGCTTACTACGAGTAAGGCGGAGCCTACCTTATAAATAAAATTGTTTATGTAACATTTGAAACTTACCTATCCTGTGCTTTTCATATTGATAATCCCCCATGTTTATCTGATTCAATCAAACCACATTTGCTTAAAATCCTAATTACAATTGACACTTAAAGAAACGTCGCACAATAAAGATGAATTTTTGATTCGGCCAGACAAACATGGAGGATTAAACAAAAGTTGTTGATTGTATTTATTCATCTCATTACTTTGACAGCTCGAAAGTCCAATGCTGTTTGATAAATTGGAGTATTTGAAAATAATTAGTTAGTTACACATAATAATAATAATAATAATAATAATAATAATAATAATAATAATAATAATAATAATAATAATAATAATAATAATAATAATAATAATAATGTTTATTGTCACAAAATACAGGTAAATATCAAATATTGTGCACAATAAACATAAAGCACCCAAAAAAAGTTTGCACTTGTGTTTGGGTTTGTACAAAATAAAAACTAATAGTACAGACTTTGCGTGAACCTTACCCAAAAATGACGGACGTTAAGGAAATTATTAGATATGCTATATTTCAACGTCAAATCAAATTAAATATGGCAGTATATCGTACTGACAAAATTCTACACATACGTCACACATTATACAAAAGTGCTCGGCTAATACTGACGTAGGACTTCATTGTCTGGCAGAATTCAAACCACATATATGCTTACATTTCGGTTTATTGTACGACGTTTCGACTACAACTGTAGTCTTTTTCAGGTAGAATTAAGAATTCTATGACAAAGTTTCTTATTTTGCCTATTTCACGTTCCTTACAATAAGCAGAAAACTAAACTTATATGTGGTTCTGATTCGGTTGGGCAATGGAGTCCTATGAACATGAAAACCCCAGGATAATATTCAGGAGATATATTAATACTGGCATACTTCTCCACCAAGGTATGTAACGTACTGACTACCTACGTAACTTAAAAGTACGCGGGAAATATCCACATTTAAGACTTCTGATATTTTCATAATTTTCATGTATAGTCCCAATATGAGTCTTCAAAATAGGCACAGGGTAATGTCGCAGCGCAATGACAGTCGTCTTTCTGGACGCTGGCCAAGCATATTGAAAAGAACGTCTCATAGAGTAGCCTTCCAACACTTACGTGTCAGTATGGAATGATTGTAACAACAACAAATATAACGAAGCGGCACGAGATAAGTGTTAGGTACAGGGTACAGGGTAACGTCACAGCGCAAAGGCGGTCGATCTTTCTCGACACTGACCAAGCAGATAGGAAGGATCTTCTCACATAGTAGCCTACCACATACGTATCAGGATGGAACGATTGTAACCGACTCAAGGGCTAAGGCGGACGTGCTTGCTAAGATTTATGCTGCCAACTCCACCATAGACGTCCCCCCAATGCTCGAATGCCGTTCGTTATAGTACAGAAGATTTATCCCTACCACTAAAGAAGAAGATCGAGTTTCCCTGGATCAGCACTGCCTTATCCAGTCTTATTTTATTGTGTTCACAGTTAGTTAGTCTGTTGTTAGCGCTCATACTATATATACTAAGTGACATATAAATCCGAACATCCAGTTTAAATGCTTTTATTTTAATAACATTTTGTATACGTATAAGTACTTAATGAAGCATAATAAGTAAATGATAAAAATTTCAAAATGATTGCACTGCTTTAAAGCCCTTTGACCTTTAATAATGATTGGATGCACCCTGATGTGCAACGCATTCTCCAACGCGCCTAGGCATGCTTCTGATCAGGTGGTCAATGTCCTATTGTGGTATCTCATTCCAGGCAACCACCAACTCCTCTCGAAGTGCTTCTAGAGTCTGAGGAGGACGTTGCAAATTGAGCAATCTCTTACCCATCATATCCCACACGTGCTCAATTGGGGATAAGTCGGGAGATCTTGGTGGCCATGGTAACAATGTGACATCATTATGTTGAAAGAAGTCTATTGTGACTCTTGCAACATGTGGTCGGGCATTATCTTGTTGGAAAGTTGGATCTGCCAGGGTGTCAAGATAGGGTAAAAGATGGGGTTCTAGAACTTCGTGGATATAACGCTGCGCGTTCATGTTACCTCTGATGAAGATTAAAGGTGACCTGGAACCATAAGCTATAGCATCCCAAACCATAACTCCAACAGTGTGATGAACATGTCTTTCAACAAAAAACTGTGGATTCCTCCTTTCACCACGTCGCCTTCTAACCCTGGCACTACCATCGTGCATACCTAAACAAAATCGAGTCTCGTCACTAAAGACAATACTGTTCCATTCCTGATCCCAGAGGGGCCGTTGTCTGCACCACTCAAGGCGATTACGTCGGTGTAAGGGTTAGAAGGCGACGTGGTGAAAGGAGGAATCCACAGTTTTTTGTTGAAAGACATGTTCATCACACTGTTGGAGTTATGGTTTGGGGTGCTATAGCTTATAGTTCCAGGTCACCTTTAATCTTCATCAGAGGTAACATGAACGTGCAGCGTTATATCCACGAAGTTCTAGAACCCCATCTTTTACCCTATCTTGACACCCTGGCAGATCCAACTTTTCAACAAGATAATGCCCGACCACATGTTGCAAGAGTCACAATAGACTTCTTTCAACATAATGATGTCACATTGTTACCATGGCCACCAAGATCTCCCGACTTATCCCCAATTGAGCACGTGTGGGATATGATGGGTAGGAGATTGCTCAATTTGCAACGTCCTCCTCAGACTCTAGAAGGACTTCGAGAGGAGTTAGTGGTTGCCTGGAATGAGATACTACAGGAGGACATTGACCACCTGATCAGAAGCATGCCTAGGCGCGTTGGAGAATGCGTAGCACATCAGGGTGCATCCACACATTATTAAAGGTCAAAGGCCTTAAAGCAGTGCAATCATTTTGAAATTTTTATCATTTACTTATTATGCTTCATTAAGTACTTATACAAAATTTTATTAAAATAAAACCATTTAAACTGGGTGTTCGGATTTATATGTCACTTAGTATACATCAATAGAATTGTATTTTGATAATCGAGAATAAATCTTTTTAAAAACAAGTAGACTGACTCGGTCAGATACTTGGCGCAGCCAGTAGGATTTTCGGGCTGTTTCGCGAATCAATCGAGACCGCGAAAGCAGTTTTCGTATCGACCAATTTAGCGCAAAAACGGCCTACGGACTAAAGACTTTGGTGAGTGGGAGTTCGAGCGGAACCGGTCTATCGAAGACACCGTGTGTAGCTACCACCTACGATGTCAGGGATTTGGACCACACATCGCCCAAATCTGCAAGCGGAACATTTTGGAGAAGGACCAGATCGCCCAACCAAGATCTTCCCCTTATAGTTAAGCAACCAAGTAAAGACAAAGAAAGACACGTGATGCACTTGATCATCCTCGTATTAGCGTAAGTGCAACTATACATTTTAAATGTCTTTGGAAGATATTGCAGAGGCTATAGATAATTTGACACTTTCAACAGACTCACCTATTTTAAGACCACCTAGATTAAATATTGAAAATATTCCAAGCATGTCTCAATTCAGACCAGAATTATTAAATTGCGTCCCAGAGTTTGACGGAAATCCTAATGACTTGAATAGGTTTCTATCAGTGAGTGAAGCGTTAATTGCAAATTTTTACGATATACGGAACCCACATAATTTCCAAAATATCTATTTGCTAAATTCACTGAACTCGAAATTAAAAGGAAATGCTAAAGTGCTTGTGAATATCCAAAATGTGCAGATTTAAAAGACATTCTGACTAGGAATTTTTCTGATCAAAGAAATGAAACTTGTCTAAATCGTGATTTGGTTATATTGAGGCAAATGCCAAATGAAACGCCTCAAAAATTTTATGATAAGTGTCTTCATATTTTGAATCTGCTATGCAGCCATGTAAACGTACATGAACATTCTGAAGATGCAAAAGTGTTAAAAAGAAATTTATATCAAGAATTAGCTCTGAAAACATTTTTGTGCGGATTACGAGAGCCCTTGGGTACAATAATTAGATGTATGAAACCCACATCTCTCAGCCAAGCTTTACAATTCATTATATCTGAAGACAATGTCAGCTATTTCCAAAATTATAACAAAAATTTTAGAAAATCACAAAATGTGCCACAGAATCAAACTTCCAGGCCAATGCAAAGGCCAATGATTAATCAAAATAGACCTTCATACTTTCAGCCTACTAATTATTCATTCAGTCAGCCAAACACTTCAACATTTCAACCTAGATTCAATTCGACTTTTCCGACTGGACCTGTAAACTTGCCAAGGCCAGTTTATCGTCCTCAGAGATTTCCGACGATTTCTCAGGTTTTTAGACAAATGCAGAATAACAGAAATGTTTTCAAACCTAACCCTAACCGTACTTTGCCACAAACTACTCCAATGAGTACTTCTACTAGAATTTCTTTCAAACCTGAACATAATTCGACAGCCCAGCAACAACAAAAAACAAATTGGATCGCTGAACGTAGAACCACCTCAAAATATTCAGAAGGACTCATTCATAGACCACAAGACCTAGCACCAGAGGTAATTTCACTTAACGCCAGCAATGCTAGCGAACAATCCTACATTCTTTTTTCTGAATATGGAATTAAAATGTTGATCGATTCTGGATCAACTAAGTCATTTATTGATCCCACTATTGCTCGTAGATTTTTTCCAAATTTAATCAGAAATGATCCATTTGTTGTATCAACTGTTTTTCAAAAATCCGCTCACAAATATAGTGCATCCATCCCGAAAATTTTCAATCTTCCTGATCGTATGGATAAGTTTTACCTATTTAAATTTCACAATATTTTCGATGGATTGATTGGATTAGATAATCTAAAATTATTGAGAGCCGATATTGATTTAAGCAAAGGAACTTTACATACGCCCTACGCCAAAATTAGACTAAAATTTCACCAGCTTTCTAACGACTTAAATTTGATAACCGTCGCACCTCGAACCGAACAAGTAATAAAAATCAAAACATCGATCGCCAATGGTGAAATCGTAATTCCTCATCAAAAATTTCATAATTGCGAGATACCTGAATGCCTTACGACAGCAAATGGCATTTTCTTGAGAGATACAATCTCAGAGATCATGAATATCTATCATATCATAATTTCAGTGCTCCAGGATATAGAAAAGTCACTTACTTTGGCAAAATTGGGAATTATGCACCCCAGTGTAATCAAACCAAAACATTTACTTCAAGCACTAAATCCAGTGGTATTAAAACTATCCACAAAGCAACTCCCTTCAAAAGTTACTTTGGATAATATTCCAATTTTTGAAAAGCTCATTAAAATCAGCTGTTATACAGTTATAGAAAAATAACATACATTCTTCGAATTCCAATTGTTCATACATTCCAATTTGATTATTATCACTTATATTCAATTCCAACCTTTCATAAGGGTCTGTTCAAAGTAGTCATCCCTTCTGGAAAATATCTTGTAAAGAATGAGTTGTACTTCGCTTTTGCGGGAGAAGCATGCACGGAAACGGTCGCAAAACAGTACGTTTGCAAGGAACTAGATTTAAGAAGAATCAAAGAATCCAATCCCTGTGAAGTTCAACTCCTGGAACAAAAAACTCCCACTACCTGCCGAGAAGTAGAAGCCGTAATCACAGAGCCAGTAATGAAGAAACTGCATGATTTCGGACAATGGATCTTGCTTATACCCAATGAAACCACCATTACATTAAGCAGTCAAGAAGGCCAAGAAACAGTCAAAGTTTTGGGATCCTACTTAGCCGAAATTCCAGTCGGTTGTACACTGGAACTAAATCAAGACCTGATCGCCAATCAAGAACCTATATCGATTGGAAGTCAGCCAATTATTTTTCCAAATATCGATACCAATACTTCAATTGCTACCAAGCCGAATGACTTCAGCCTTCATCTGGACCAAATAGAATTTGATGAAGTTCACAAAATAAAAAGAAGATTAATAGAAAATCGTGTTGCCATCCATTCACATAAGGTGTCGCACATTCCCAGTTCTTGGACAATCCTGTTGTATGGACTACTACTGCTGCTACTTTGCTGTTTTGTATAGAAGAAGATCATTCCGCAGATTTTTACTAAGCCGCAGAAACCACAAAGAACCCCTATTGAAGAAGTTGATCTTTCCAATGTGCAACTTCCTCGTTAACCCTCGAAGTTGCATCTACAAGGGGAGGCGTTATAGTACAGAAGATTTACCCCTACCACTAAAGAAGAGGATCGAGTTTCCCTGGATCAGCACTTTGCCTTATCCAGTCTTATTTTATTGTATTCACAGTTAGTTAGTCTGTTGTTAGCGCTCATACCTTATAAATCAATAGAATTGTATTTTGATAATCGAGAATAAATCTTTTTAAAAAACAAGTAGACTGACTCGGTCAGATAATTAGTTGATTCAAAGGGTTCCTACAATATGCGGGAAGTAACATTCAGGCATGATACCCTAAGATGCTCGATATCAACAAAGCTTCTAGCTTGGACTTGATTCCTGCAATTGTATTGAAGAGGTGTGCAATGGAACTTCCTCTAGTTCTTTCGCGTCTCTTCCAGATATCTTACGAATCCAGCACCGTTGCAGAAAACTAGAAATATGCTTATGTCCGACTCTTACAACCACAGGCCTATAGCTCTGCTTTCTGTAATAAGTAATGTGACGGAGAGGAGCATAAATCGCGAGCTTCAGCACTGCTCTCTTATGCAAACTTCCATCCTATTACCTTCCAGATAATCTTTGCAGATGGATGGCCGACCTTCCCTCTGGCCGCAAGATATCAGTCGTAATTGACGGGTTTTTCTCTCAGTCTTGGCTCCGACACTTACCTCTTACATATAAACAACACTCTCCTTTCCTGTACGATAAATCGAATCCACAGCTTTGCTGATGACACCATTTTACCACTGCTTGGGGACGCAACCATTTTAGTGTTTCCAAAACACAGTATATACTGTATCCTGACGAACAAAAAGCATCCTAGTGCTCATCCGGTTTCGATGGATGGCCGAGTTCTGCCAAAGAGCCGTTTATCTCGGCTGGTCGGAGTCCAGTTCACCGAGGACCTGATCTGGCACGAACACATCTCGTCAATACCGACAACTTCTGGGAAAACGCTAGGCTATTTGTTTAGGGCTAAAAAGTACTATTCTCCGCAAGACCTCCTCACTCCATGCAAGGCCCAGATAAGACTAGCCTCGAGTATTGCTCACACGTTTGGGGTGCTGCCGCGCCGACTACATTATTTATGCTCGATGCTGTCCAGAAGAGGACTGTCCGGCTGATCTTTTCTAACAGACAGTTTCGGGATCCTTTCGCACCGGCGAGCCATCGGCGATCTAGCTCGCTTCTACCATTACATCAACGGGCTTTGCTCCTCGGAGTTCTCCTTTATGATGCTGCCGCGTGATGTGCCTACCAGACAGACCCACCTGACTTCGACCTTTCATCCTAACCGTGTCGATTTTTCTAAATCTAGAACTGGCTGATACGACCGCTCCTTTGTTCTACTAATCTTAAGCAGTTGAAAAATCGGATTAACAAATTTCTTTGGTATCTTCATAGCAGCCTTGCATTTTTAATAATAAGGAGGGACACCTTGTATCTTCGCAGTGCTTAAGGAGCACCAGTGAGTACGTACGAAATTTCATAGCTACCTCAATATTTATACATGGAACAATAGGTATCTTAATCTTGAACAAATATGACTTTTGGGAAGGAAAGTACGTTAGAGATTAGAAGTTAGTACGCATTGATTTCAAATTATAGTCACATGAATATCACAAATTATAGAAGACGCATATGAGCGGTAAACAAAAATGTCTAGTTCAGTCTCAACCATCAAACCAGAGATTTTTACTAGTACCACTCCTACAATAGGTAATGTGTTCTTTTCTTGGTACGACTATGCTTTCTTCGGGGTTATGTTGTGCATCAGCATGGGCATTGGGATATACGTGGGGTGCTTCGGGAAGAAACAAACTACTGCTAAGGATTACTTGATGGGTGGTAACAAAATGAAGGTGGTACCAATTGTCATTTCATTGGTTGCAAGGTAAGGCAAGATTTTCATCAATATCTTTGGTTAAACCATTTGTACCTCTGCCTTTTGTATTTGTTGGAAATATACAGGATCTCCAATAAGTAACAAAAACTTACCTATAGGTACATATAAAAGTGTCACCGTTTTTGAGATATTGAATTTTTTCTTAAATTTAAAAAAACGAAACTTTTTATCTGTGGTCTTTAGCTGCATGTACAAATAAGGTTATACTTTGTTCATTTTTTCTATAAAATACTTCTAGATAGTTGCTTCATCATATACAAATGAAATGTAGTTAAAAGATATTAAGGAACCATGATCAAATAAGGACTATTTTGGAATTTATAACCTTCTGATATTTTTTCCTCAACTTTGACCATCTGTGGTGAAACAACAATGTACTGGGCTATAACTGCATTATATTGAATAAAAAGATTGCTCATTAAATACAGATTTCAGAAAGACACCACACGTACTATTTGGAATAGAAAAAAGTGATAGCTGCTTTTGTAAGTGACTGACACACACTACAATGTAACTATTGGATTTAAATTATATATACGTAGTCATGCCATAAGTTCTGTCCCTCGTTTTCAAACAAGTGTAGACCTGTTAATACTTGTCCGATTGTTTACATTGTGGTGTCAGTTCATTAAGCGCTTTTCGGGTAATTACATATACCTCAGTTTGTATTGATCTCTCGAAGCATAACGATGGAGTGGGGCAAGGCAGAGAACCGTATTGCAGTGATAGCTTTACATAAGTGTAATCACAGTGCTAGTCAGATTTTTGAACTCTTACGCGGCCTTCAAATATCGCGTAAATTTGTGTCTAGGACCATTCAGCGGTACAATGAGACGTCCTCTGTTGATGACAGGCCAAGAAGCGGAAGACCTCGTCAAGTAAGGTCTCCAGCAGCCATCAAAGCCGTAAAAGCCAGGATTCAAAGGAATCCACTCCGGAAGCAGAAGATCCTATCCAGGGAAATGAAGATTCCTGTCCGGACGATGTCGCGCATCATTAAACAAGACCTAGGGCTAGGGGCTTACCGGAGACGTACGGGCCAGCGACTTACGGCCACCTTGCGACACATCAGGGCGACAAGATCCAAGAAGCTCTTGGAGAGGTACGCAGCTGGGGGATTCCGAAAGATTTTGTTCACGGATGAGAAAATCTTCACCATAGAAGAAAAATTCAACCGACAAAATGACAAAGTGTATGCAAGGAGTTCACAGGAGGCTTCGGAGATCATTCCGAGAGTTGAGAGAGGCCACCACCCTGCGTCAGTCATGGTTTGGTGGGGGGTGTCCTACGAAGGGGTCACTCAGCTCCATTTCTGTAAACAGGGCGTGAAAACAAAAGCGGCAAACTATCAGAGCGACATACTGGATCCTATCGTCAAGCCTTTAGGTGGTACATTGTTTGCCAACCAACACTGGGTCTACCAGCAGGATTCCGCCCCCGCTCACAAGGCTAAGAGTACGCAGCGCTGGCTGGAAAGCAATGTGCCAGAGTTCATTGCTGCGGAAGATTGGCCCTCAGGGAGTCCGGACCTCAATCCTTTAGACTACAAGTTGTGGGACCTGCTAGAGCAGTTGGCCTGCTCCAAAGCCCACCGTAATATCGAGTCCCTGAAAGCGGATTTGATCCGATCAGCGGCAGCTATTCCTTTGGAAGCTGTGCGTGCAGTGATAGATGAGTGGCCCGCGAGATTGAAGCAGTGTGTGAAGGCCAAGGGGGGACATTTTGAATAAAACTGTTTGATTATGAATTCTAAAAATGTTGTCGAATAAATAATATCTTTCATATAAATATATCTTATCTTGTTTCATTTTTATCATGAGATTATCATGGGACAGAACTTATGGCACGACTACGTATATATAACAAAAAGTAGGAAAATAATGGGCAAAATCCGCAAAAAGGAGGAAAGTGGATTCGAGCAGAAAATAGGATAGGTAACCCGAGCGATACGTATTTCTGCTGGTTGGCTTCATGAGGCCCGAAATGAATGCACATATGAAACTACCAAAGTAGATACACATCCGGATACGGGTGTAACCTGAGAAAACGAAGATGGAGAGGGAAAAAAAACGACATACGAAGTCCACAACAAGAGCCAACGTACACATTGTAGTACAAAACGGCTAGAAGACCTCGAATTTTCAAGGAGACATCTAACCACAACCACGCGGCCGGTTATAGCCACTTGTTAGATGATGGTTAGATGTGGTTAGATGTCTCCTTGAAAATTCGAGGTCTTCTAGCCGTTTTGTACTACTATGTGTAGGTTGGCTCTTGTTGTGGACTTCGTGTGTCGTTTTATTTTCCCTCTCCATCTTCGTTTCCTCAGGTTACACCCGTATCCGGATGTGTATCTACTTTGGTAGTTTCATATGAGCATTCATTTCGGGCCTGATGAAGCCAACCAGCAGAAATACGTATCGTTCGGGTTACGTATCCTATTTTCTGCTCGAATCCACTTTCCTCCTTTTTGCGGATTTTGCCCATTATTTTCCTACTTTTTGTTATATACCTTTCTCCGCATGACCATTTTCTCTCTCTCTCTCTCTATATATATATATATATATATATATAAATTTAAGTTTCACTGGTTACCGATCTTTAACATGCTAAATAGTACAAAGCTACATTATTATTAGATGCTCCTGATATTATTTTATGAAACTTATTGAAATTCGGACTCGAGTCAGTAACAATACAAAATAATTATTTTTGTAAACAACGGGTTAGCGTGAAATAAAGCACAAATTGTTTGTGGAAAAAATTTATTCATTCATTGACAGAATACGCTCAAATTGGCGACCTACTCTAATATAAGCTGGCATCTCTTAAGAAAATACGCTTTTAGAGTTCTCAGATTCAATTGGGCTATCTCAGCAGCAGCTTGATGTATTTGTTCTCGCAAATGTTCTTCGTTTTGAACTGGTTTTGAATAAATTTTGTCCTTAAGACAGCCCCAGTAGAAGAAATCTAATGGATTCAGGTCTGGTGATCGAGCAAGCCACGTGATTGGCCCCGATCGTCCATCCACCGGTGGGAATAAGTCTCGTCTAAATGAGCTCGCACTTCACGCCCGTAGTGAGCAGGACAGCCGTCTTGTTGTAGCCATAGTGTACGTCGCAGATTCAAGGGTATATCTTCTAAAAATGAACAAAGTATAATCTTATTTGTACATGCAGCCAACGACCACAGATGAAAAGGTTCGTTTTTTTTAAATTTAAGAAAAAAATCAATATCTCCAAAACGGTGACACTTTTATATAGATAAGTTTTTGTTATTTGGGAGGTCAGTCCTAAACTTACCTTCTCCTTAAGTTTGTCGTGGTACTTATTGGACACCGTATAATATACATAAATATATAATAACAGAATGCCGCGAATACTCTGAAAGAGTCAACTACAGTTTGTTGATATAAATTCTCAATTGGTATGGCTTCTTTTGGTAGATCGTTTTACATTCTCGTATATCAATTTTTTTATCGTGACTAATGACTCAGCCACAAGGAGCTGATGCTTAGCAGGTTAGTGTATCAGTTTCAAAAAGTCATGACACCAAGAGAGATTAGAGGAATGGCAAAAGCGAAAGGTCTCTAATTACTCAAGTAGATGATTGTCATCCTCTGAATTGTATACGTTTAGGAACTACAAAATTTATGTGGTGCCTACTGTCAAGCTGCAAAAAGCTCTGTTCAGCTTTTCTTGAAGCGGTTGCACCAATACACGAGCTTACACTGTCAACTTTGTCCTGAAAGGTTATCATCAAGTAGGAAAAACTGCATAATTTTTCATTAACTTTTCAGCCATTGTTCTGGAGTGACTCTACTTGCCTTGCCAGCTGACATATATCGCTTTGGAGCCGCTTATTGGCTGGGATCCTTCTCATTCTTGGTATTAACAGTAGTAACTATCTATGTGTTTTTACCAGTTTTCCACAATCTACAGTTGACCAGCACCTATGAGTATTTGGGAATACGCTTTGACAAGAGAGTGAGAAAATGTTCTTCGTTTCTGTTTGCTATGACTGTATTTTTACATCTACCTATAGTTATATACATACCAGCTTTGGCATTCTCTGCAGGTAAAATATATTCTTATATAATAAAATTATGGCTACGAAAATGTTGTAGCTAGCTGTCTTTGAAGTTGGGATCTTGATTTTTTCCATTTAAAAGCTAAAAAGTTGTGGATTAAAAACTGTAATATTGCAAAATCTTTAGCGTTCTAACTTTTTTGAAAGAATCTTCAATCTCTTGTACTTTCTCAACGTTTACTCATATTGTTTCAGCATCTGGCATCAACGTACATGTTATTACTCCCATAGTTTGTGGGGTATGTATTTTCTACACAACCATAGGTGGATTGAAAGCTTTGGTTTGGTCTGATGCTCTTCAATTTTCCGTGACCATGGGTGCCATGTTAACTGTATTTGTGCTTGGACTGAAATCAATTGGAGGTATTTCTTATGTTTGGCAGAAAGGTATCGAGCAAGGACGACTTGACATTTTTGAGTAAGTAAAGCGATCAAACTGAAAATATGGTAATCAAACTTTGAACTCATTTTCTTGGTTTTTCAGTTTTGATGTGGACTTCACTAAAAGGGAATCTTTCTGGGCTATCATGGTTGGACTTACTATACATTGGATCGCTCACACAAGTGTCAACCAAGGATGTACGCAGAAATTTTTGTCGGTTTCATCTTTGAAAGACTCCAAAAAGTAAGTTTGTGGTCATGTTACTAAAAGCTGCCAATAAAATAAGGGATATGTGAATTTGCTTCCACTGATCCGCATGTCGAACAAGCAACCTTCGGAATAAAATAAGACATTGACGCAGTTTATAACTATTCTTTGAAACACAATTTAATAATATATTAGTCAAAATCCAATATCATGTTATTCTGCTCTAACACCAAGCGTGAGCGCATCCTCCATCTCAAAATTGGATCAGTAATGAATCTATGATACTTGGCGGCATTCCAGATACTAACTTAAGATTCAAGCATATCACAAACATCTTATTTGATATTGCGTGTTCTATATGAAAATAGACATGTTCTTTTATCTTTCATCAAATTAGCTGAAACGATTGTTCTAAAAATTTCTAAATATCACCAGATTTGTTTGGATCAGCTCACCAAATGGCGTTTGCAAGTAGTGCAAAATAACTGTGTCAGGTTCACGTATGCTTTAAGAAAATATGACGTTAGTCATGCTTACAGCACGCTCGGGTGGATGAAGCTCGAGTCTGAGTACTTTTCATTATTTTGTCTTCCTCCACGAACCCTCCAACCCAAGTATTTTTTCTTTTCTCTATAGAAATAAACAAAAAACCACTTAGTTATATATTAAATATTAGTATACCCCATTATTGCACCTCTCTTTTTCAACCCTTGTCTGAAATTGTAATTGAACAATTTTCTTGTATGTATCTCTTCAATCATCTTTACTTCGTATTCATAGCTTTAACTTAACTTCGCCTGAACTAATCGTACTTATGTAGCTGTTATTTACACCGAAGCAACCGCGCAGGCAGGAGCCTAAATGCCAGGGCACCGTGGCAGCTTTTAGGAGCTGTGTCAATAAGGACGGTATTATTGTTATCATTGATTGATTGATAAGTAAAAACTAAGCAAAGAGTAAAACACACGTTCTGCTATAAGCAGCACTGAACTACTCGTATGTCCTGTTTTTTTTCTCATATGTTCCATATAAGGTACTAACATTTTTTCAGAGCAGTATCGCTGTACTGTCTGGGAATGATCCTAGTGAAATCACTGAGTGTCGTGAGTGGGCTTATAATGGCAGCAAAGTATTCAGAATGTGACCCATTTTTGACCAGTAAAATTAAGAAAAAGGATCAATTGTTTCCATACTACGTACTTGATGTGGCTGGTAATATTCCTGGAGTATCTGGGGCGTTTATTGCTGGAATTTTCACAGCATCTTTGAGGTAACAGTGATTCATTTCTTTTTAAATTATATACATGATAAATCTATTTGAAATTTATATATTCTGCTAGAGTCTAAAATATTACAATCATACCCAACCAAAGCTTCCAATGTTAGTTTACCGCCATCAATGGAAACTGAGCGTATGCAGCAATAACGTTTATTCCTTGTACTTTCCATCTCCTTTTGTTTGTTTGTGTGCTTGTGACATCTGATATTTATTGTTCATTTTTGGACTTAAATTGGGAGTTTCCAAGCAAAAAAATAAGAGTGACCTGAAAATGCATTAATTTTATTTTTGTTAAAGGAAATTACACCTTTTTAACACGATTTACTAGCTTAACCTATATGGATGTATGTACCTGAAACTTTCAACATCATTTTCACCAATTTTAAGAGGTCTGATTAGCTCGAAAATTTGCGTGGGTGCCAAGGGCCGATGACAATACAGTAGATATGGGAAAAAATCAAATTTGAAAATGTATAAAAACAAAATTTTTAAATTTGGAAAAAATGGATATGAAAATTTGGACAATAATTGGAAAATTCGGATATTTGGAAAATAATTGGAAGATTTGAAAACTTTGAAAAAATTGTAAATTTTGAAATTTGGAAAGTATGGATTCAAAACTTGGGAAAAATTTGGGAATTTTGAAAGTAAATTTAAATTTTAAATTTGTAAGAAAATTTGAAAATTTCTGAAATATCTGAAATTTAAATTCACCGAATGAAGTATAAGGTGAGAAACATACCGAGGTATGAATGGCAAAAGGGTGATTAAAAACGTCATATCCTAGCGTCAACCTTAGGATACCAAACACACGCTATTATATAAAGTCTTTACCGGAGGCTCTTGATTATAAATACTTTTGTTGTCGTTTTGAGACTACAAATTCAGAAAACAATTTACAGTTAAACAAAACACCCTCTTATAGCAAATTGAACTAGAAAGTAGAAAATAATTTTCAAGTTTAGGAGAGTTTGTGGTACGACTAATCGATTTGGAATGAGAGCAATACAGAAATTTAAATATTAATGAAGCATTCAATCATAGTAAAAAAGCGTGGGGTGCAATTAACTATATTTTCCTTATAACTCAATTAAATAAAATAAAGAATAAAAAAATAATTCTGACATGCAGTGACAAGTACCACATACTTTTTACTCTAATTAATTTTTTGTCAACATTTCTAATTTTTATATTGATCTTATACCAAATTAATTGTGCTTTTTCAGTTTCTTTAAATTATAATTTATTTCACTAATTTTTCTTCTTCATGTTAAAGCTCTCTATCGGCAAATTTAAACAGTTTAGCTGGTACAATTTACGAAGATTTCCTGAAAAGTTTCCTGACGAAAAGAGGAAAGAATAACGCTGGTGTAACTTTGAAGATTCTGGTTGTAATAATCGGAGTAATCAGTACTTCTCTGGTATATATCGTGGAAAAAATGGGAGGTTTACTTTCGCTGTCCATTGGCTTGGGTAGCATGGCACATGGACCACTACTTGGAATGTTTACGCTTGGACTTCTATTTCCTAGGGCCAACGGCAAGGTAAAACATGATTTTTCTTTTACCTTCATTACACCCTTTGTATTTGAATGAACTCATAATTTGTATGACCGTATTAGCCGTTTTCCACATAAAAGCATATAGATTCATGTAGAATGAGCGCATTATCATGATAAGCCCATCTAAAAAAGTTTTAATAATAATATAATAAATGGGCTTTATTTCTTGCAAAAGTACAAAAAAGGCGAAGTGTCGCAAAAAGTAGAGACTTTCAACCTAACCTTTGAGACAACAAAAATGAACTAACAGAAATGTATGCATATTACCCAATAATAACTAACTAATTAACAACACAAAAACATAAGCAATTACAAGAGTAGTCCATATATTCTGCATTTTGTGTTCGTCATATAATTTAATAACTAAATGATTTTTTATAGACAGTTTTAGTATGTATTAACTTGATTTATGTCGCAACATCGTGATAACTTCTTATGCAAATATCCTGGTTGTTTGGTGTGTCAATAAGTGGAGTCTTTGCATCCCTTTAATCTGCAGATTGCCAAGCTCCTTAAATTTATGAGAAATATGCTCAAAGTTCCGTATTCCGCAAGAAAATCTGACGCACGAATTCTGAATACATACTACTTGCCTTGTTCACTATATGATAGGGGCCATATTTAGTGTCACAGTAACTGATTTTTTACATGTTTCATGCAGTTTCAGTTATGGTGAATTAGTCATTATTTGCCTATATGGATAAACCTGCTTCAAAATGCAGTATGATGCACTATATAATGAACTCACTTGCTTTGTTATTTTAGTTTTTTAGTAAGTAGTTAGTAGTAAAATAAGTGAATTAAATTATTCAAATAGGCCCATACAATAACTCCCCAGCCACCACCCTTCTGGCAACATTGCAATATAATCATAGCTGCGATGACTAAACCTCAGAAGAAGCCAGGTCGTGGCGGCTTCATCTTCTATCTATGCACTTACTCGGTGGATACCAGCGAAACACAATAATGTCGACTCGGCGCGAATACTGGAAACAAAACAAACAATATTGATATATATCCTCGCCACTCTGTGCAAAGTTCACCCCACCCCCAATTGTTCATTCCTCAAAAACTTTCGAACGAAGTATGCGACGATGTTTAGTTTTCCATTATTTGCCCACAGCTCCGCCGCCACTAGATAAAACAATGTTCATTTCCAAAAAGTGACTGGACTAACGTAGAAGCTAGACCACGTAATATTTTTGCTTTTGAATTATACCTTGTCGAATACAATTATCGAATTTTGTACATGTTGCCCTTCCATGGGATTTCCTAAATCGAATCGATTTAAATGCTTGAGCTGCTAAAAATGAAAGCAGGCATACGAAAACATTGGTTTAATGTGTCTAACTATAATTTTCACATGATGCTTTGCATTATTCAACCTACTTGTCGCTGCTTTTTGGAGTTAACTGGATTATTAGTCCAGACCCCTGGCCCCTGTAACGTTTGTGATGACTAAAACCCTTTATGTATGAAATATGTCTAATAGGTCCGCAGAATTACGGGGGTTAGAAGCATATAAATATATACTAAGTGACATATAAATCCGAACACCCAGTTTAAATGGTTTTATTTTAATAAAATTTTGTATAAGTACTTAATGAAGCATAATAAGTAAATGATAAAAATTTCAAAATGATTGCACTGCTTTAAAGCCGTTTGACCTTTAATAATGTGTGGATGCACCCTGATGTGCTACGCATTCTCCAACGCGCCTAGGCATGCTTCTGATCAGGTGGTCAATGTCCTCCTGTGGTATCTCATTCCAGGCAACCACCAACTCCTCTCGAAGTGCTTCTGGAGTCTGAGGAGGACGTTGCAAATTGAGCAATCTCCTACCCATCATATCCCACACGTGCTCAATTGGGGATAAGTCGGGAGATCTTGGTCGCCATGGTAACAATGTGACATCATTATGTTGAAAGAAGTCTATTGTGACTCTTGCAACATGTGGTCGGGCATTATCTTGTTGGAAAGTTGGATCTGCCAGGGTGTCAAGATAGGGTAAAAGATGGGGTTCTAGAACTTCGTGGATATAATGCTGCGCGTTCATGTTACCTCTGATGAAGATTAAAGGTGACCTGGAACCATAAGCTATAGCACCCCAAACCATAACTCCAACAGTGTGATGAACATGTCTTTCAACACCTAACCACAGTGTCTACACTTCTTTGCACTCTAACTGCAATTGCCCGAAAAGAAAGTCCAGCTTCCCGAAGTCCCACTATACGGCCCCTATCAAACTCACTAAGTTGACGAAATCGTACAGGTCTCCGTACTCTAGGCATCGTAACCGATCGTAAAGGATGTCAAGAACCAAAATCCGCCAACGTTGATTCTTTACTGCGGCGGAAATATTCATTTTTAGAGCGTTAGTGAATTAAAAAAAAGCAGTATAAAAACCGGAATGTCCAACTGATAAGGCTGAAAATTTTTTCACTTGTTATTTACAGTAAGCTAAATACATTCACCAACTTTAAAATAAAACCATTTAAACTGGGTGTTCGGATTTATATGTCACTTAGTATACTTATGCCTTAAAATTAAGATCTACCCTCCCCCATACATCCCCAAACCACCAAGATTTATATCATACAAACTTTTTTTTCTGAAAATGAAGCGTTTGAAATGCCAGAATGCAAAATTTGAACGATTTTTATTTTTTCCTTTTCTGCATCTAGCTCCGCCGCCACTGGGCCGTTTTTCAAAGACTAGAAAGCTTTTTCGTCCTAAGCAAAGTAGCAACTTTGTGTCAAAATTCGATCAAAAACCGAGCAGTACATTCCAAGTTAAACACGGGACCAGGATTAGCAGACAAAGTCAGACCGACATGCTGTGACATCTGTGACCCATTTTCGTGATGTACAATTTATTCAAAATCCAAAAAACAATACATCAATCTCCTCGCCAGTGGCGTGGAAAGCAGAAGTCAGAGCAGATTTATAAAAGAAAAGTCATATCAACCGTATAACAGAAATTAATGATTATTTATACAAAGAAGTTCAAAATGTTCTAAATTATTGAATCAAAAACATGAATAATTACTAATTCGTAATCGGCGATCAAAAAAAAAAAAATTAAGGATGAGAATTTTCAGATCACTCAAGCAACTATTAGGCTTTTGTTGAGCTTTCTAAGGATTGGCTACAATATAAATGGATAAGATGGATAGTTTACAGGTTTCGTACAGTGACAATTAATTTTTATATGGACAAAAAGTTCCGATCGGTAGTCTGAACCCCAAGTCATCCACTTGTGAAGAATAACGGCAGTCTACCAAGAGCATCGATAAAACCACTTCTGACCGATTTTTGCGGTTAAAAGTGCTTTTGACCGATTATGAGTTTTGACTGCAACACATACATTTTTTAGTGAAATGATCAGACTTTCCAATAATATAATTTTGAAGCATTATTATAGTATAAATTAGCAATATTTTGTTAGCGCTAGTCCTTCCCTAGTGATCTACATAAGTTGTTCTCAATGGACATCATCTTATGCGGATCCATTTGGTTTCTAAGGTGTCACAATTTCGCTGACGCCTGAGTAAGATTTTCTGCTGTCTCCTACTCCACCACATTTTGAATTTGTTGATAGTATTCCAAAAAACTAAAAGTGATTATAAAATCTGCTGAATCAATACTGACCAATAATAACCATATTATCGATTCTTAGGCTTGAATAGGTGGGAACTAATCGCACTTAAAGAATATGAAGGTATAAATAAGTAATCATTTTTTACTTTTCATGCCTACTGACGAGGAAATCGCGATAAATTTCGAAAATGCGATATATTTTTTGGATGCTATAGGGCATGTACATTATGAAAAACCATGTCACTCATTTCCGTCGGTCTGTGTGTGGGCTCGTTTATGAATTTTTCACAGAAGGTTACTATTATGCCAATGACAAGAAAGTCTTTTAGTTTTCGAAAATCGGCCCAGTGGTGGCGGAGCTATGGGTAATAACGCAAAAAATAAAAATCGTTCAACCTACGTTTTTTGACAATTTAGAGACGCCTGATCGTTTTCGGGAAACTTTTTGTAGGCGTTATACTTTGCGTTTAGCACGACAATTTACATATCTACTGAGAACGATTTTTTTTTTGATAATATATTACCTCTGTTATAGGGTGCATTTTATGGTGCAATGGCAGCGATGCTTTCAATGATGAGCGTAATTGTGGGAAATAACTACTACGTATCCAGAAAATTGCTGGTATATCCAACAAAGCCAGTGTCTACAGACAAATGTTATGAGAATGAAACATTTATATCGGATATCCATTTTCTGAGGTATACTTTTTACCACTTGGTGAAACTCATCGTGCATTATGATCGAATAGTACAATTTGCTGGACAAAGATTCAAAGTGAAACGCTTTACGAATCATCTTCTTTATTTTACTGTGAAATTTTGTACAAGAAATTGTACCTAGGTCACTCGGTAAGTTTTCTCGTCTACTACTCGAATGTTATTGTTTTTCAAAAATAATGTTTATCACTAATAATCCACATGTTCATCCTCTCAGAACATTATTCAAGTCAGATTTTATCTATTGCTTCTACTTCACTTTCCGTGCAACTGGCGAGGAAGTATGTATTTTGGATGTTATAAGACACGTACATTGACCTAAGCTGAGGACGTAAAAGCTATAAAGATTTTGAAAATCTGTCAATGGCGGCTACGAGCGAAAAAAAAAACAATAAAGATAAAAACAATAATAATAATAATAATTCGGCTTTATTTATACAAAGTATAAAAAGGCGAAGTGTCGCTAAAAACCGTTTTTCAACTTAACCCAACAAATATTTGTGTAAATTTTCTAATCCCAATGAAAACAAAAAAGTTAAAATAACCTGTAACCAGTCCCTATTCATGGCCATGGTCTACTTACTGGGCAATGAAATCAGAGATAAAATGCTTCAATCTTTTTTTTGAAATTCTTTATAGAGTAGTGAGGGAACTCGGTTGTATAGCGTTGTATAGCTTGATAGCAGTATATATGTACGATCTTTTAAATAGAGATGTTGAATGTCTCAAGATTACCAATATTTGCTTATTCTTTGTGTTCAGTTGATTGACATCTGAGTATCTGATTAATTTGGTTGATAGATATGGAGGGGCTAGTGTTGTGATTACTTTATGGGTCAAGGTCAATACGTGCATTTTTTGTAGCTCTTCTATTTTTTGAACACCCAGCTCACGATATTTATGTGACACTGTCTCACATTTTCTCACTCCACAAGCAAATCTGAGACAGGCATTTTGAATAGCCTGAAATCTCCTTATCTCAATCGATATTAGTGCAGGCCCATAAATACAGTCACAGTAGTGAATTCTAGACCATAATAAGGTTTCGCACAATTTCAGCTTTAGACCAGTACTTTTCCTATGAGGAAATAATTACTTCAAGACACCGAATGATGTTCGGCACAGTTGACTAACATGTTTTTCAAACCTCAAATCAGAATCAATCCAGAGTCCTAAATTCTTGCACTCATTTTTTATGGGGATCGGTTGGTCTAAAATGCTCAATGATAGTAATGGTTTTGCCTTACTTTTTTTGATTTTGGCTCAAATTTCGTTGTTCGACATTTTAGAGGCTTCTCTTCACGTTCTCTACATAAGATGGTATCACCCAGTTTTATGTTATAGAGATGCTTCATTAGATGACACCGTTCAGTTGCAATCCTAGTTGCAAATCAGAGTTGTCCGAACATAGAAGTAGAAGACATTTTTTTGGTACTTTACTTTACTTACTATAATGTGTGAGTAATTTCTTAGCGAATGAGCAGCCCGATGTATCATCCCACATGTTGTTGAAGATTTTGTGGGTATGCTCTTCCGGCATAGTTCTCATGGCTCCGATGGAGAGGGGGCACTGGACCCAGAATAATGGTTTCAGTAGCGCTTTTTTCCAGCATATCAGCTACAATATTACCCTTGAATTGTGAATGACCTCTCATCCAGGCAAGAGTTATGTTATTACTGATGGAGGCACCTACAAATATCAAGTGACGATCTACTGCTGTTCTCGTTGTAAACTTACACTTAAGAGTTAGTATTGCTCGCCTGCTGTCCATGAAGATCCTAATATTTTTGCCCGTGGCATTTCTCTAGTCAATTTCCTTTGCGGCTAAAGTTATGCCAGCTAATTCGACCGACGCTGGCATGTTGTCCATAGCAGTTCATACGAAGGTTCCTAGATTTCATTCCTCAGCCAGGCCCATCATTTTTCTTTGGTCCGTCAGTGAAAATTTTCATCGCTCATAAAATTTGTTTCACGACCATCTGCGGGATTAACAGCAACATTGATGCTGCTCATCACTACCTGCAACCTAATCGACCCGCCTTGGTTTTCTTGGCGGAAACAAAAATCGTAGATCCTACACCGATTAATCATCTTAACGTCTCGAATTACGAGGTGCACTCCAATCTGGAATGAACGGGGGAATTGTGGCTTTTGTCCGTAGCAGTCTTTGGTGCTCCAGAGACTTTTCTTTGGACTCGGCCCGGAAGGACATTCTACGGCTTCGCCTCAACTCCAAAACATCTCCCAAATTTGTTTGCTGCCTTTATCGCTCTCCCTCGGATCATAACTGGGATGACCTACTTGAATACCTCGCTCTTATCTAAGGACTGACTCAGCTGGTAACGAGACCTATTTTTTCCCCCGCGTTTCGCTACACGCCAGTAGCTTGCTGGATCTCTTTCTGTCCTTTACAGCATTGCTGTCCTGTCTCTGCTGGAGTACTCAGACCACCGTGTTATGAAGTTTAGGTTTCGGTCAGAACCCGCAGTGGCAGCAGTAACTGGCCCAGGAAGCAAAATTTGGCCTTACGGACATGCCGACTGGTAGGGGCTGAGATACTATTTCTCCACCTTTCTCTGGAGAGATGTTTGTCTCGCTGTCGCGGATGCTCATCGGTAACCGAAACTATCCAGGTTGGGATGGAGAAATACACCCTTCACACAGTGAAAGTGCCTAAACCAGGGTCTAACGGCTGGTTCACCAAATCGTGCGAGACTGCTCGTCAGCAAAACAAGGCACACATAACCCATTGTAGAGAACAGACAAGTCGACGTCTAGTCCAGAAGCAAATATAACGAAGCTGTCCGCGATACCAGAGACCAGCACGAAATAAATGTTAGGCACACGGTAATGTCGCCGCGCAAAGGCAGTCGGTCTTTCTGGACGCTGGCGAAGAAGACGGATGGAACTATTGTAACCGACTCAAAGGCTAAGGCGGAAGTGCTTGCCAAGATCTTTGCTGCCAATTCCACCATAGACGTCCCCCCAACGTCCGAATGCCGTCGATTCAAAGGGTTTCGTACAATATGCGGGAAGTAACATTCAGGTAAAATACCGTAACATGCTCGACATCAACAAAGCTTCTGGTTTGGACTTGATTTCTGTAGTTGTATTGAAGAGGCGTGCAACGGAGCTTGCTCCAGTTCTTTCGTGTCTCTTCCAGATATCTTACGAATCCGGCTCCTTCCCAGAAAAGTGGTAATTTGCTCACGTCCATCCCATCCCAAAAAGGAGTCTGAGGCTGACTCTTACAGTTACAGGTCTATAGCTCTCTGCCTTCTGTTATAAGTAAAGTGAAAGTTAAGAAAAAAATAACGCCTTCCTCGATATGGTTTTTAGAAGCTGTCGTAATAGGATAGGGTCGATCAAATATGAACTTTAGAGGAATATTATAAAATGACAAGACTTACCGAGTGACTTAAGTACTATTCGACTACGTGAATTTAAAATAAAATTCCTTTTCCAGTACCAGTGATCACAATGAAGATATATCCCCAATCTTCAAGATATCCTTCTACTGGTATTCAGCTATTGGTTGTACCATATGCGTATTGGTTGGTATTATCATCAGTTATATGACTGAAGAGAATGATCCTCCTGTCAGTAAGGAACTTCTAAGTCCCGTGATACATAGATGGCTATCTAAAGATAAATATCCAGACAAAATTCATCTGGAGTATGACAGTGTTGAAGATTCTCTGAAGAAAGTTGTGAATGGGAATACAAATGAAAAAGAAGAAGAGTTGAATAGGAAGTTGCTGAGGCTAGAAGTGATGAGGAAGAAATCCTTCATTATGGACTCAATTGATGACTGATACACCTCTATTAGAGTCTCATTAAATTTTGTTATGTAAAAGAAGAAACAAGTGTATGTCGAAAAGGCAACATTGAAGCTAATGACTTAACTAAAGACCTAAGTTAAAATAGAATATGGTCCTCGAGATCATAATACTTTTTAAATGGTTTCAATTTAGCTTACGATTGTTTTCTTTTGAAAATGTAATCATGCGAATAAAATAGCATTCAAATTAATCACTTACAGAGTTTAAATTATTTAGAGAATTCTGTAACAGCATATGAAGTTATGAAAGTACACTTGCAAAATGTGAATAATCCTATAAATAAAAATGTATACAAATTATGTTGAGGATTAGCTTTCTGAATATTTTGCAATACTTAAATTGCATGCCCATCGAGGCGAAGTGACGCGAAGAGAACAGTGGCGAAAGCATTGCAGAAGTGACACTGATTTTATTATGTTTGAAGGAACCAAACGGAAGAGCCTCACTTCCCTTCGTTTCATTTTCCCTCAGTGAGCGTGAATTTTAATTGGTTAGAGATCCTGTGATTGTCTAACGTTTATTCTGAAGCAGTATGAAAACAAAGATTATTAAAATATCTGATATAAGAATAATCCCTATAACAAGCAACCACACAGAGACAGGTATGTCAGGAATGCATAGTGTCTCCTTTGCTGTTCATTGTCCTGGCTATCTATTTTGAGAAGCATTAGGAGAATCAAGTGACGGAATAATCATCAATGATGTAATAAATAACCTAAGATAGGCGGATACGGTTCTTATCGCGAATAATACCGAACGAATACGTAGATTTGTTGATCAAATATTTAACATCGGTGAAAAATATAGAATGAAACTTAGTAGTAAGAAGACGAAAATTATGATCATAAGTGAATATAGAGAAACAGGTGCAATGTTTATAGGAGCCAACGATGTATAAAGGCGCAATTCCACTGAGGCAACAGTGAACGACATGCGGCATGCTACATGTTTCCTAGTGTCGCCTCTTGTTGACGTTCGACAATGTTGTCCAAAAGTCTATTAATGCCGCATGCGGATTTTGTTTCCCTATGTGGCATGTGCTTTGTCGTACATGAGTGTAGCATGCGTCTTAATCAATTCAATAGAGGCAACTTCAGTTTGCGGCATCATGTCTTTACAAACGGTTGCGGCGGCTGCATATCTGGTAATAGCTTTGAATAGAAAAAAGAAAAGAAGGAAGCCAAGGTGGTGGAGGAGACAATTATATGTTGGTGGTCAAGAAGCACAGAATGACTTTCTTAATAAATTGATTGCTGACGATCAAGCTTTATTTCGAAATTTTACTCGAATGAGTCAAGAAGATTTTGAATACCTATTAGAGAAGATCTCACCGATTATAAGAAAATCTGATACCAACTTTCGTGAAGCGATACCAACTCGTATTAGGTTATTAGTAACATTAAGATATTTGGCTACCGGCGACAGCTATGCATCACTTATGTATCTGTTCCGGATATCTGTACCAAGCATTTCACGAATTATTCCAGAGGTGTGCAAAGCTCTAATCGATGTCTTACATGATTTTGTTAGGGTAAGTAAAATTACAATGACTTATTTTTAAATAGTTTATTGTTCGTAAAAATAGCGTTTATATAATATATTAGTTTAGGGCTTAGAAACTAAAAACTCAGAGAGTACTGTGAAAGTCGAAAGATCTTGTTCTTTATTGTTTCCAAAGTTGTCAGATGGCTGTACATAAATATTGCTGGATTCAGAAGAGGTTGATTGGCGCAAACAAGCAGATGACACGGAGGGTGGTTCACTGCTCAAGGTGTCAGTTGGCAGTACATAGATATTGCTGTGATCAGAAAATCCTGATTGGTGAGAACTAGCAGAAGCCACGGAGCATGGTTGATTGTAATTACTTTCGTTGGTTTCACAAGCTGTGGAAGTGCGAGTGCTAGTTTGGTCATCAAATTTGCCCATACTTGCGTCATATAATATATTGTTGATCAAGTGCTTTGCAATCGTTTGTGCTCTAGGGCTTAGATGCCGCAGTTCATTTCCTACATGCTCTCCATACGTTGAAAACTCATCTCTTTGGCATGAACTTTTCAGAATATTATATGCTTCTTCCTCGCGATCGGAAGGAGATATAAAACGCTTCTTTTTCTCTGTCTTCTTCTTAGGGGCAATAACTATGTCCCTTCTCTCTTCACAGCTTCTGTGACCGTCTATATTACTGACTTCTGCTTCGGTATCTTGTGTGTTGGAGACCGAAATATCATCTTCATTCTGCAACAATAAATCGAGTATTTTATCTCAAAAAAATCAAAATTTATTGCTTCGCAACTTTATCACCCACTTCGTATATTCGACTTTATTTTGGATGCGTAGATTGTTGAAAGTCAAACAACTTTTGTATAACATAATTAGCCGTTCTAGTAATTTTTTCGAATTCTGTATATAAACATTATATGAAATAGATAATAGGATTTTATTTTTTTCAGATTCCCGACACTGAAGATGGATGGAAAAAGATAGCAAGGGATTTTGAAGTACTCTGGAATTACCCACACTGTATTGGAGCGTGTGATGGGAAACACATCGTCTTGCAAAACCCAAAAAACAGTGGCAGCTTATTTTATAATTACAAAGGAACTTTTAGCATTGTTTTGATGGCAGTTACAGATGCCGACTATAATTTTATATACGCCAATATTGGTTGTCAAGGCAGGATATCTGACGGAGGTGTATTTCGAGAAACAATATTTTATAAAAAGTTGGCAAATAATAATCTAGCATTACCGGCTCCGGAGTCACTTCCTGGGAGCAATAGATTATCACCTTATGTCATATTGACGGATGATGCGTTCCCTTTACAGGAACACATCTTGAAACCTTTCAGCGGCTACCATGACAAAGGCTCCTGTGAGAGGGTCTATAACTATAGACATTCACGCGCTCGCAGAGTAGTGGAAAATTCTTTTGGATTGCTAGCATCAGTGTTTCGTGTCTTTAGGAAACCACTTATGGTGCATGTGGACAATGCTGAAATCATTACAACAACATGCATTTATCTTCATAACTTTTTGAGAAGAAGTAAAACGTCGAGACCACTATACTCTCCTCAGGGATCATTTGATCATGAAACACGAGATGGAAACATTATCCCAGGATCATGGAGGGTTACTACCCAAGGCGACAATGGCGTGCTGAATTTACAACATAGAGCTCGAAGGTCAACTTTTGAAGCTAAAGAAGTTAGAAAAGAATTTATGAGATTTTTTACATCAGATGAAGGGCGTGTGCCTTGGCAGGATTTTTATGCTTAAGCTTTATACCTATTAGTACAAACATAAATACCTATTGTAATTGAATATATGTTTTCTTGAAAATATTTACGATTGTAGTCTCACTAGAAACCAAATCGGGATTTTTATAGAAAACTATACATGTGCAAATGTTGAAAATGTAATGTAAAAAATTAGGTACCTATAGTTTTGCTATAAAAAGATCGATTTGGTGCTGGTGCGACCCTATATTTTAGTGCAAAAAAAAACTCACCGCAGATTCCTCTCCGTTGTCGCTGGCCGTTGATGTTGTTCGTCTATGTTTATCGACGTCTAGTAAAAAACTCAAAAGCTCAAACGCAAACCATTTGCCTTTCGTGAGAGGAGATGAGCCACTTTTCTTTGACTGTAGCTTTTTTCTTTCACGATGGAACGCGGAACGTAGATTTTTGATTTTATTTTTCACTTCAATCACGGTACATTCGTATTTCGTCGCTATTTGTTTTAACTTATCATTTTTAAGTCTGTTGTCTTTATAAGCAGCAATTTTATTATTCCATAATTCTGGAGAATTGTGATAATCTTCAATAAACAAAGTTGTTTTCTCTATAGTCCACTCCATGTCGCAAACTACATGTAGCACCGAACCGATGGCTATCGGATAAAAGCCGACATCGTTCGACACGCTGAATCTTGTAGAAAGCTGACGCATGCGTCTGGAAAACAGTGGTCAACATGTGGCATGCGGCATTGTCGCATGCCACATGTTGCTTCATGTTGTTCCAATTGAAAGACTGAGTGTAGCATGCGTCATTGTCGCATGCTACATGTTGCCTAAATGTTGCCTCAGTGGAAATGCGCCTTTAGGAAGAACTGGCAAATTAACTTATATACGATACAACATCACAGCCAGCTGTGAACACTCATACGAGATTAGAGTTTTTATCGTAAGAGTGAAGAGAAGTGCCTTCTAGATCTAGAACACGAAAAAAGTTCCTTGTAATTTAACCTTAAGTCTCTATCTGCGACTCTGTATCCTCAAATGCTACGTGTTTTTCGTCCTTAAATACAGGTGGCGCACATACATGGACACTCAGTGAAGACTACTACCGCTGGCTGCAAGCTTTTTGAAGTGTTGTCGTATCATGGGTCATGTTACTAACGCCACAATAATGCAACGTTTGCAAAAGATCCAGACATCACAATTAAAGGGAGGAAATAAACGTACTTAGGGGGAGCAGGACGCCGCTGCATGTTCTGTATTAAACACCTGAGACAATGGCCGGGTTTACCGATATACTTAGAATAGCTGTCAACAAAATAATATGGACCATAGGGGTCGCCGACATCCATTGAGGGTAGGTCCTAATATTAGAGTTTTTGAGCCGTCTCAAAGGAGTTCCTCATCGTTTCATTTAATGTAGCCTAATAGAAATATTTGATGGCATTCTGATGTTCCATAAAAACACACCAGACGATATACGAAATGAATACTGTGCAATGACTTGTTGACCCTAAGCTGTAAAAAAGTAAATATTCATTGTCAGGGACAATGATATACCCATATTAATGTTATCATGTTGAATAAAAATAAATTTAGCTGTACATCACTCGCGGCTATTAGAATTGATTAGGTATCATTATTTACTTGGAATTGTTTGTTTAATATACGGATAAGTGACTGGTAGAAAGTCGCGGTGAGCAAGCACTCAAGAGCCGGTGAACCGGCAATCATGAACCGACAACAGCAACAACTCGTATGTGAACCAGTAATCAGTCTGTCACCGTTTTTCAGAGGACACACGTTGCAACGCATTGAGGTTTAGTGTTTGTAAAATACTTGGTTGTCATGGCACCGCGCGGTAAGTTTAGTGTATCAGAAATATCGTGTTACGTTGCCGTATTCCACAAGGTTCATTTTTGGGACTCATACAGAACGACATGTTTCATTATTGGTTCGGCAATTGAAATATAGATAAATTACAATATATCCCGATTAGCAGGTCCCGGCTATCCCTCCCCACTAGATGCTATGAAAAATGGTCCTAGTGAAACACTGTTGTACTGTATTTGTGTACAACCAAACGAAGGTGAAGACAAAACTGATCTTCTTGCAACCGTTGACGTTGATCCACAGTCACCGACATACTGTCAGGTAAATCATCAGGAACATAATGTTTTTAACATAAACGTGCAACTTGTACGAAAGTTTCTATGTACTATAGCTAATGCTGTGGACAGTGGCGTATATAAAGGGGGGCCAAGGTCTTTTCCAAACGGAACAATTCTGCTGATCAAATTTTGGTCAAATTTGTCAATTTTTAGGTGAACTATTACTATGTCATTATCACGATCGTACAGGAAGAGTCCAAATTACAGGTTATATATGCATTCCAGAATTTGCAAACCAGTAGCGAATTCACATGTTCCAAGTCTAAATCGTTTCATTTTAATGATGGACAAGTATTTGGGAGTGAGATGCTGAATCCAAAAAAAGGTTCAGCAATAATTCTTTTATGTATGAATTTTTGTAGGTGCTCAATCATTTTCATACCAGATTCTAAAGCTTTAATGGCTAATTAACGACAAATCGATATATATATATATATATATATATATAGGGTGTTCCATAATTATTGCGACAAAAAGATAGGGGTTGTAGACGGCATCAAAATGAACAATTTTGCCTTATAAACCCCTGTTTGGAAATATGCCGTTTGGGCTGCAGCAAAAAAAAGATCAGTTTCTTGAAACAGCTTACCTACAATAATTGCTCGAAGTGTCCTCCACCTACACAGCTGTGCACGATTGTTCAATGATCGGCGAACTCTGTGGCATTATCCCGGTATGTCCTGAACATGTGCGGACGCGGCCTTCACTCTTCCCAGTAGCTCTTGTTGGTTGGGTACAGTAGTTTTGTACACTAAAGCTTTCAGATGGCCCCAGCGAAAATAATCCAGTGGGGTCAGGTCGGGTAACCGCGCAGGCCAAGGCACAGTGCCACCTGGGCCTATCCACCTATTTGAAAATTTGTCGTCCAAATACTGCCGCACTTGTAAAGAAAAGTGGGCTGGAGCGCCATCGTGTTAAACCCACATGTTGGCTCTTATGTTCAGTGGCACATTTTCCGGTAGCACATGCTGTAAGAATCGACCATAAGCATGCCCATCCAAACGTGGTGGAAGCAAATATGGCCAGATGATATGCTCGTCCACAATGCCGCACCAGATGTTAATTGAAAACTGATGTTGGTCTCTATGGATGGCTATGGCATGAGGGTTTTCTTCATCCCAAATGTGACTGTTACGGCTATTAAAATAACCGTCCTTTGTAAAACAGGACTCGTCAGTAAACAAAACGTAGCGACCAAAGTTTGGTTGCCTTAACTCCTGCTGCAGCCACCAACGACAAAAACGTCGACGCGGCAGATAGTCTTCTGGACCCATGGCTTGGACTTTTAAAAGGTGGTATGGGTGTAGTTGCTGGTGTCATGGAGAACCTGCCAAACAGTAGTTTGAGACGCTCCCATATCATGTGCAATAGCAGGCACGCTTGTACGCGGATTGGCCTCTACATGGTGCAGAATCGCTTCCTCAAATTCTATTGTGCGCCTTGTGAAGGGCCGTCCTGCTCCCGCGAGGTGTCTGATGCTGCCACTGACACGAAGACGTCCATGAATCCTTGCAAAAATGGCGTGATGCAGATGAGGACGTTCTGGAAACCGTTGGGCGTAGATTTGCGAGGCTCGTCTTCCGTTACCACTAGCTTTTCCGTAAATTAAATGCATATCCGCAAGTTTCGCATACGAATAACGCTGCATTCTAACACTAAGGTACTGTTATTTACTATCTAGTTTGACGCACCACTCAGACAAATTAAATAAATCGGTGTGGAGAATTTACGATAACAAAAATGTAAACACAGCAGGCTTTTTTTACAAACCGGCGAGACCATGAAATGTGCTAGACGAACATTTTGCAGCTGGTGAATTTTTTGTTTCTCCTATGAGCTCTTAAGGTAAAATTAGCGGTAGTGCTCAAACGGCATGTTTACGAACAGGGGTTTATAAGGCAAAATTGCATATTTTTATGCCCTCTACAACCCCTATCATTTTGTCGCAATAATTATGGAACACCCTGTATATATATCGATATATGGATGTTTATTAAGTAGTGGAACAGATATTTTTTGAGTTAGACCATTTCAAAAATACTGAAATAGCGAAAGGAGTTTTTTCCGCTGCAAAAGATGTAACAATAGAATTTTGCGAACTTTCTTTGGGAATGAACGCTGACACTATTTTCAAGCTTTTTAAAATGTAAATGACTATTTTATAATATTTATTAAAATACACCATATCGAAAAGTCTGGAATGATTCATAAAAGTTGTATTGTTTTGAAGCTTTATTGTGCATGTCTCTTCTTTCAATATCCTTTGTCGCCCACAGCTTCGAAATTCTAAAAAAAAAAACATAAAAGTAAGACTTAAATGTCATGTGCCTTCCTCGTGGCTATGTCTTAATGGTAACTGAAGTTTTAATTACCTTTTTGTTATGTTGACCATTCAGGAGATTAAAAACTATAAAATAGTAACAATGAAAGTTGAACTTCTCACCCCCATAATTATCTTGGTCCAGTTCCATCCAAGTTATTAGAGTTCCTAACTGGGAAATATTTTTTAACATTATACACCTTGTCCAACTCCCGTATTGAGCTCCAACAGATACATTATTACTATCAAATAAGAATAGATTGAGATTATTCGATTTTAACCGAGGATACCTCCATCCCTCATTTTAAACATTTGCATTTTGCAACAATGGTTTTTGTTGCATACTGTACTTAAAATTCTAGAGTAGACTGAATCTTCATATACAGAAAACGAATTCGCTCTACTTGTACTTACAGATAATTCATCGATTGAGAACATTGCATCCTAAGGATGAGTTACATCATTCTGGGTGGAATGTATGTTCCAGCTGCTACACACCAAAAGAGTGTTGTGACAATCCTGTAAGGGATAAACTGATACTTCCAGCGTTGGGCTCCAACAGAATTTACGTTGTAGACACTGGCAAGAATCCCAGAGCTCCTGAGTTCCATAAGGTTAGTATTCTAGTTAGTTCTTTGGAGTGGATTATTGGAAAAATACATTAATTATTTTGAATTCAAGGATGTGCATAAGTAGGATGATTTCTTAGCTTAAACTGTTTGATTTCTTTATAAAATGGACATTGGTATTGAGGAATGGGTGTAGATGGATGTCTGCTACCTCAGCTATGATCCAGTTAATGTTATCAATTTCTTTTAATTAAGGTTATTGATCCAACTGAGATGAAAAAGTTGAACTGTGGTACTCCACATACCGCACATTGTCTGGCATCTGGTGAAATCATGATTTCCGTTATGGGAGATAAAGAAGACAACGAAAAATGTGATTTCGTTCTAATTGATGCGAAGACATACAAAATGAAAGGTAAATAACCGTTTACTTATTTAACTTACAGCATGAAATTTTTTCCTTTGAAGAATCATACAACGAATGTTTGGTTTATCTTATATCGCTGCATTTTTCTGTCATAGATGACCTTTAGTTGAAAATGCTATTTTTGACTATAATTTGATCAACCACCTTATAGGGACATGGATTAAAGGAAACAAAGCTCCGAGATTCAACTACGATTTCTGGTACCAGCCTTATCATGACGTCATGATTTCAACGGAATGGGGAACCCCCAGAGTTTTCAAAACGGGTTTCCATCCATCTCATCTCACACCAGAATATTATGGTCAAAGCCTGAATTTTTTCTCATGGAGTAAAAGAGAACTTATCCAAAGCATCGATTTGGGTAAGGATGGTATAGCACCACTAGAAGTGAGGTTTTTGCATAATCCTAAGGAGAGTCAGGGTTACGTGGGGTGCGCAGTGGCAGGTAGCATCTACAGGTAAATTTAATTTTTTAAAGTTAAATGTTTTAAAGTTAAACGAAAGCAGTCTACCTCCACACTATTTTGAGTGACCGATTCTAGCAACCAGTGACAAACGTACATCTGAAATGCTCATTTTTCAGATTCTATCTGCAGGCTGAAGGCAAATGGGCAGCAGAGAAAGTTATTCACATTCCCCCGAAAAAAATATTGGGATCTGATGGTGAAACTGTGTTGAATGGAATGATCACTGACATCTTACTATCACTGGATGACAAGTTCTTGTACTTTTCTAACTACATGCATGGGGATGTCAGGCAATACGATATCAGTGATAGGTCACATCCAAAGCTGACAGGTAAGGTAATTGATAAGAGTATCGGTGGCGTAGCAAGGACTTGTGACACCCGGGGCGGAACTTCTACTTGTCCCTCAGACCCTAACATTACAGAATAAACATTTTTTAGCCTTATTCGTTTATAGTAAAAACATACAACTAAAAAAAGTTATTTGAAAAGCTAATTTATGGAATCACAGGAGTAAAATGCATGCTTTATAGAATTTGTATGAAAACATTTTAATGTAAATAACATACATAAATTGGAATAAAAACATTTTTTGTTACATAGTAGTCATATCACCATTATTATTACAATATCACACACCAATATTCCGAACAATTAGTTTGAATTCCTGGTTTACATTGAGTGTGGCTAAAATTGACCTTTATTATGAGGTCTTAAGCAAAGCTATACGAATCTTGAGAGGAAAGGTTTTAGTTTTTGTATTTTTTCTTAGGCTTGCGTGAGTTTTTCCTCTCTGTTTTCATACACTTAGGTGATAAATTGATATATTTTGTTTTTATTTATACAGGAATTTCACAAAATGTGCTGTTTTTGACAACCTTCTTTGTATTTAGAACCTCTTCTTTCTAACTGTGGCTCTTTGGCTACGCTGTTTTCAACAGATAGGAGTTAGATAGACGAACTCATAGTAGATAACTATGTATTAACAAGCTTGAGCTCTGAAAAACTCATGTCACTAGAAGCAATAGGGTCACATGTTAGGTAAAACCTTAACGCTAAAGTTAGATAAGGAATAGAGTCTGGGAGCTCATATTCAAGTATGAATTGCGATAGTCTCAAATAACTCCACTTCAGAGCCTCTTCCTCAGGAAAACCCCCTCAGAAGTGGGATTTCAGTTATCATGTCTTATGAAGTTATCCATTCGTAGTTATCGACTAAACTGCCAACTAATTTTTGCAGTTCAGTTCATGAACTCTTTAGCAAGTTTTTGGCCTCCAAGATAGTGATATGCCTTCCACGCTATGGCAACGACTATTGGTTTCTTGTTGAAACATGTCAATGCACTCTAATATCGACCTCTTTGATTCTTCTTCCAACGTTAATGACTCGTCTGGAGCTTTCTCTCTGGCGTGTGCCTGATTCTGATTGAATTTCGACCGTTGAAATTAATTTTGATAGCGTCCTGCCGTCATATATTTGACGCGCCATAGTAATTTCGTACTGCCATGATAATTTGAATGTAGAAGATCGTCAGAATGAGGTGTAAAAATTATCATTGCGAATTATATGTGAATGACCGGAACGAGACATCAAAATTAATTTTAAAGGTCGAAATTAATTTAGAATTTTTTGACTACAGGAATGTCCATCTCGCTGTAAATACTTTTTGCATATTCCATTGTCTTTTCCACATAGGGTCGTATCGTCAGTTGTTCCTACAATTGTAGGACGCCTTTATGGCCTCCTTGATTTTAAACTCTTCTGTGTCAGCGCTATATTTTGATGTTATGTTACAAATACCTATTTGCATCAAATTGCTCATACTTTTAATTAATATAATCTGTTATATAGCCTAAAATTTCTTACAATTCAAGAAGAAAGCATAGCCTGACAATAGGAGAGCGCTGACGCTGACCCGGAACAGTAGACATCTGGAAATATCCCAGCCTTTCTGAAGAAGAGGAATGACTATGAAAATCAAGGAGGCCATAAACGCGACCTACAATTGTAGAAGCGACTAACAATATGGGCCTCCATCAAACAAAAAGGAGTCTAAACTTCTCATTTTTATATGCCACTTTCCAAAATTTATTCCAACAATTTGCAGGTACTTTTGGGTGTGGTTGACTTCTCTCTCTATAACACTAAATTGACACAAGAATTCGAAATCGCACACTGCAGACAATATAGTTTTGAGTTGCTCCTCTGATGTCGACAGTTTCTCAAAGGTCTCAACCGATCTTAAACGGAGCTGCTTTTTCACACTTGAATTGGTTGACAAAGGACCACTGCTTTCACTTTTTGGAAATACTCCAATCTTTTTAACAAGGACTATCGATATTGTCCGTTAGTTGTATTTTCAAGTACTGCTATGTTTTATACTAGAGGTAAACTAAGAATGGTACGCCCATGCCAAGTAGGCTGTTACACCGACAGTGACAAGAATAGATTGGGAATACTCATACGTTGCGCGAAAATTTCCGAGGTGCCTAGGCGAAATTGAAGATCGTATGTCTGAGCTTACCCAAAAAAACGTCCATGCTCAGAAACAGATTGCATAAATGCATGTATGAAGAAGATAGATGTATAAAAATGATGATTCAGTGTGACTCGCCAAAAACTGTGAAATGAACTATATTTTTTTTTCAGGTCAAGTATTCCTTGGAGGCAAACTCGTCAATGACCCCTCGGTCAAACTATTGGAAGACTCAGAACTAAAAGAACCTCCAAAAGCGGCATACATTAAAGGGAAACGCTTTTGTGGATCACCACAGATGATCCAGTTGTCTCTTGATGGCAAGAGGTTGTATGTCACTAGCAGTATATTCTCGCCTTGGGATAAGCAGTTTTATCCAGATTTGGTCGCCAGTGGCACAAAAATGGCAAAGATTGACTGTGATCCAGTGAATGGTGGAATGAAGCTGGATGAAAACTTTTGTGTTGATTTTGGTGATGGACCTGATGGACCGCTACTTGCCCACGAAGTTAGGTACAGTAAAATTTTATTTTGCATTCGTATTACATCACACTATGGAAGTAAATAGTGCTGGTCGGCAATAAAATGCACATGATCCTGGATTATAAGTCCATTTAACAGTTCCTGAATAATCCCGATCTTAAATCGGGTAAAATAATAGTTCCATTGAATAGGATACCATATATGGTAAATACTGCATAATATTCAAATATCTTTTTAAGTGCTTGCGATTGAAAGTTTCCTGTACACAGACTTGATCATTATGTTGCAATTTTTTCTTTCTACAGATATCCTGGAGGTGACTGTACATCTGATATCTGGCTGGCGAATGACTGAACGAGACGACGTACACATAAGTGAAGCTTAAAATAACCACGAGACCTTTGATATGTAAAATAAAATGTATCCTTTTGTTTTAATAAAAGGTCAGACATTTAAATGAGTCCCGTTTGTTATCATACGTATATAATGCAGATATGAAACGTTGTGCAATACTTTATTTTTTTTATGGATATTGGTGGATACGTATTCAGTAGTGCGCACATCCACCTTATATTGAAATATCAACCCGCTGGAGTATTATGAAAGAAACCTAAAAAAGTTAAAAAAACAGACAAAATGTCATCTTGCAGACTAGGTAGCCTTTAGTGTGCAAATAGGTCATTCCACGATTGCTCGTTATGATCGCTAAGAGCGTCATCAAAAGCGTCCGTCCGCTGAGGAATGGCTCAACGACACGACACGCTCAAGCATGCATTGTTGATTGCAGAAAGCCGAGTAGTGGTTATCTCTGAGATGTGAAAGAGAAGAAGTTGGTTGAGTGATCAGTGATATTTGCTGTGTGAGCAAATTTACTGCCAATGAAGTATATCTATTAGCTGTGCCCGACGGGTTATTTATATGTTGT